ATGATTTAATGGTCATTTAATAATTAATAAAACTTTCGGTGCTTCCTTATCGAGTACTACTTGGCGGGTCCGTGCATTTCTTGATATAAATTTGGTACAAAACCAGTACCAATTTTCTATAGAAAGCATATTAACAGTAACTCGTCAAAAATAATCACGGTAAAAGCTTAATAACTAACATACAGCATTAGAATACTATGAGCACGTGTAAAGAGTAAGTACTTTGGAATTCCTGGCATGGACCCGCCAAGTAGTACTCGATAAGGAATCACCTAAAGTTTTTTTAATTATTAAATCACCATTAAATCATAATTAAATACGGGAAGCAGTAGTAACATAAAAAAGTAGCGAAAACGTTATAGGAAATATTGAAAATATAATTAAAATGATGGGCCAGTGCTAGATCATATAATAGGAAAACATGTAGTGACTTATGTACTTGGCCTCAATAATATGATATCAATACTTTTTGTTATAGGAATTCACAGCAATCCTGTACTTGGCGCAGTTTTTTACACGTAAGTGTTTTTTGGGGGATATATATTAAAGGAATTAATGGATTACGTTAGTATTATTAATTAATTGTACGAATATGGAATTGAATAATTTTATTTGACTTGAATATCATATACCAATTATAAGTTTGTGTCCGAACAATAGATTAAGTATTGAGTAAACATTTATTGTTTCCGGAAAGTCTGCTGCAGTATTACAAATACATAATTTATCGAAATATCTATAACACGGAGAATGAGGGAACCATGAAAATCTATAGGTGTTCCTGAAGAAGACAATGCAACTTCCGATTGCATGTGTCTCTTGAAGTATCCAAGTTCTTCGAGGGCTCCTTGGTAATTTCTTAAGGAGAGTGGAGCCTGGAGACGTTCTAGATGAAGTAATGTGTTTTTTGCCTATTGACAAGAGATTCATAGATTTATAGGTGAAACGAGTCAACTGAAGTATTTAAAGAAATTCAATATACCTCGCTGATTGTCGAAGAGTGCGACCAGACAATACAGATTATTCGAGTAAAATATTCTAAGGTCCATGTTGTATAAAATATCGGACGCCTTAGTAACCTCATCACAGGAATTGCACCTCTCCAGGGTTCAATGAGGTGTTGCACAATATAATGCAAGTTGTCCAATAGACTGATAAGGTCGGAGCAAAATGACAGGAATATTTGAAAACGAAAAAAACTGGTGATCTTCATCAACATCGTGCTCAACTGCTGGTGCACGATTCTTAGAATCTCCAGTTCCTGGGCTGTGCTGATGCGAAGGATATTCGAAGGAATATTTTGCCAACAAGTAGTTTTCTTCTGTTTCCTTTTTGAATTGACCTTTTGTTTAATAATCTTGAGCGTAGCCTGATGCTTTGACGAGGAGGTCTCTTTACCGTTATTTAAATAATTCCAAATTTTGTACTTCCCGCCGTTTTCTATTGAATTATCAACAGTTTCAGGTGCTGATTCAGGTGCTGGATCAAACCATGTACTTATTATTGCTTCTTCAGAATAATTATGATTTGCTACACTTGTGTGGATCAAATTCAATTCCCCATTTAAAATGGAATATCGTCTTTTGAGTAGAACAAAAAAAATCATTTGAGACCACTCGACAGACGCAATAGTGAATTGGGCGAAATGGTTACATAATCGATAAAAGAGAAAGTCGTACATTTGGCTATAAATTATAAAACCTAAATATGGTACGTGAACGATCCAGCATATGAGAAGCAGAAGGATCACCAATCCAAAAACTCTTCTTCTCGATGATTTTGAATAATTATTAGTAATCCGTAAAAGGTGATCGATCCGATTGATTTCCTCAAAGATTTCTGCTAATTTTGATGCTTTAAGAATATTATGGATTCGCAGCACAATGGCGATTATGTTGATCAGCAATGAAATGCTAATGCGAAATATGGTGTTGGTTGCTTCGTTTAAGTCCTCAACTTTAGTGACATTGCTATGAACATTGATTACTTCAACATTCTTTATCACAATGGGAAAAACCCAGTACATACATCCGAATCCAAGGCCAATTTGAAAAATCGCAGAACAAATGGCGATGATCGAATAAATGAACTGTTTTTTTGAATTTGAATAGTACGACTGTCGCGTCACGCCGGCGAATATTTGCAACACTTGCAAAGGATAATATTCTTTGAGAATTAACATTCTTCTATGATTTTTTTACAGCAGTCTTTTAAAATATATAAACACGAAGTTTCTTTTGAACTGTCCGAAGCTTGTGATCAAATCGTACCAATTTCTTAGATTGGACTGAGACAAAGTGTAATACATTCCTGATTCCCATGCGAACTCCCATACTAATGGTGATAGATTGGAATTGTAATAGATGAACACAATTTGGAAATTGCACTGAATTTAGATGATTTGTTTGGCATAGATGGATGACTGAAATCGCATTACTTGTTGAGGAATTGAACCATGATGACCAGATATGTAGCTCCGGTAGCCACAGCCTAGATGAACAAATGAATATTAGTGTAGCCCAATACAGAGAACAGGGCAAAGTGCATAAATTACTTTGTAACTTACTGATGAGATCATTGAAACATTAAGATCAAAAAATCCAGCAGCTGAGAATTTCATTCTGCGTGAATTAATGTGGTCGTGGAAAAGCGTCAGCTGAAATGATAAGAGTAAGGTGTGATGATAACCAAATTTTTTCATTCAAAATTTCCATTAAAAATTAATCTAGCATAACGAACTTACTTCTTCCTTGGTTGCATAACCTCTGGAGGTACTTCTCATCCGAAGTACGTGAACCAGCGTCTTCTTGGCTTCGGAAGTTGTCCTGGATGCCATTACCGCTATGGCAACGAATCTTATGATATAATAAATTCCCCAGGATGTGTTCTTCAAAGGATGAATATTTCCCAGTGATTCGAATGGCCAGATTTCAGTTAAGGCGCGGACACTGTAGCCACCACGCAGTAGAAAATAAATGTTGACCAGGAGATTAAGGAAGCAGCCACACACGGAAAACAGAACTTGGACCTAAAAAAGTAAGCAAAGGATACTAGATATTAAAATCTTATAAAAACCTCGGGACACCTTGTTAAAATTCAGATAACCTGAAAACCCTCGTTCATCCAGTCCAGGGTGTCGCAGAGACGTTGATGAGCATCTCTAAGGACAACCATTGTGTCACGAAGACGGTGATCACTGTAAGGATCGGGTTCAAACTGATATCCGGTCATCTTCCAAGGACAACACTCTAATTCGTGTCCTGGTGCACTTCCGTTCTGGGATCGTCTTCGCGCATCATATAAACGAGCAGCATGCAGCATCTTCGTATTAATGACCTGTAGGAAAATGAAATTTTAATAAAAAATATATTGTCAGGAAGAAGGCAAAGAGGACAAGTGGCTATACCCAAAATCTGGACCTGATAAGATGGCAAAGAGCAAGGAATTGAAATTCCGAGGACAGAGCAGTGAGATTATTAAAGTTATCCATAAAGATGAAGAAGCCAACGAGGTAAGTTCCTCTGCCGTAAACAAAGGTCACGGAGAAGATCTGCGAGGGCAAGCCGAGAACCAGATTCAGAACGACAAATATCCATATATTGCGTGAGGATATTCTGAGGTCGTGACTCTTCCGTTTTAGCAGTTGGTCCACGTCGTTCATCCTGGTAAAGACATCAGGAAGGAGCTTCTTGATCCCAGCCAGGGAATTAATACGACTTGTTATAGCCATAAAGGATATCCCCATGGGGTAGATCAGCCGGATGACGCTGCTAGCATGTATCCTCCGATGATTATCCTCAATGGAGTTATTTTTCCAGGGTGCCGTCGTAGTGGTCATCACTGCCACCACGGGGATGCTGATCAGATGCGTCAGATTGAATCCAAGAAGTAACAGAAGATATATACTGGCGCCACGAGAAGTCACAAAAGCCTAGGATCATGAGAATGTCATAGCCTGAGGATCCTTAGAGATGCTGATCCTGAAGAAGACCCAAACAGATCTCGTACCTGTCTACCAGCGATTCTTTGCAATCGAAAAGGAAATACTCCAATGGCACGGCTGATCAAGGTCACTGGAGAAAATTCCTCGTAGACGGTGATCTCCATTTTGCTCGTGGACATATACGTATCCTTAGACGATATAGCTTCCTGGGAAGGTCGACGTAGATCAGGATGAAAATACTCTACTCCTTCTATACTAGTCACCAAAACCATTGTGTCTGTATGACCAGGACTTGGTGAAGGGTCCTTTATGACTGCGTTCATGTCCTATCGTGCTGAATAGCATCGACGGTGACCCTGGATATTCCAGCCTCGCGTTCAGCTAACAAGGTTTGTTCTTGGTAAGTTTGAACTAGTATATGCGTAAACGCCATAGAGAAAATAATAATATTTATACCTGAAGATGGTCCTAAGTAAATTCATTACCGTAAGTCACACGTAAGTTCCTCGGTAAGAAAACTACGAGTACCAAAAAAGTGAAGATTCTGAAAAAAATGTTTAAACAAACTTTATGCATCTGTCAAAATTTCTGTACAAATAGGCATCACTCATGAAATAACGAAAAGGACACTGTAGCTTCGATACTATAATATAGTAATAGTCGTCTAACAAAGCAAACGTCAACAGGAAGGTAGAACGCGTAGATATGCAGAACGTAACAGTTCAGTAAAATAATATTAAAACAAAAATGAATTGCAACACTATATTTTTACTGATAAGAAAACACAAATCATATAAACATCCATATCGCAACATTTCTAAAGACCTCAAAAGGTCTCATGCAAAAACCAACTGAAACTGGTAAGTACCGACCAAGTAAATAAGTTATCGTTGAATTTTGACCTATCGATAGCGGAGGTTCTTTTCACAAAACTGGTTGAAACCAGTCAGCTCTGCAATATCGGTACTCGATAAAGAGACCCCACTTAATGAGACATAAAAAAGCATTGCGCGTACAAGCAAAACAGAGATATATAACTGAAATACGAATAATATGATTAACCTATGAAATAATCATTAAATCAAAACTACTTCTTTATACCCTGAGAAAGGAATGTTTGGAAATTGTTAGAGAAACAAATTATCATCGTACATTGCTACAAGTATGTTATTTAATAATCTGATATCAAAACTGTACAAAGTTAGTTTTCCGGTAGAATAGAATAATGCGTGCTCCTAGTCTCCATACATATGTAAGCATAAATGTCGATCTGCGTTATATGAGTGTCGTACGTGCAAAGATATTGTACTCCTCTCTCGTTACGTATGGAATTTCAGTGACGTTCTTGAATCGCCGTGACATGGAATGTCGCCGTGTCTGGTTGTCCCTATGAGTCTGCTAGGTCTACAAGCTTGACAATAACGAGGGTCAGGTAGTATAAGAGAAATGAGAAAAAGGGAAAATAGTGTAGGGAAAAGTTTAAGACACTCCCAGTGAAAATGACAAAAATTGGGCCAAATATGTAAAGTCTCGAGGGTCTTATCGATTTCTAGGTTGGCCTGGTAGCGGGAGAGTCTACCTTCCAGCCACATTGTTACCTCGGTAGAGTCCTCGAGTAAGTCCAGCAAGAGAGAGTATTACCCTTTAGAAAACAATCGAGAGAAACGTTGGCAGGTAAACGACCCGAGGGAATTTTCACGTATGCGAATTGATATCTGGAAGAAGAGAAAAAATGTGTTTTTTTTTAACATTATAAATTCAGTTTAATTTATTAAAAGGATAAATAAATAATGTCGAGAGCAATATAATATACGGCTTTGAAATAGAAAGAGAAATTTTATGTATCTTCGTATGAGTTAACAATTAGTGTTGTTCTCAAGATTGAATATCGGTCAAGCGATAATTCAGTACACAGATCGACGAGTCGGCGGGACGGAGGGGTGCAAATTCTTCCTCCCCCTCTCTCTAATTAGGGGAATCACGCACCAGGGGGGAAGAGTTCATACCAGAAGGGGTCTTGACCTCTAATAGATACCACTGACTTATATAAGTCCAACTCCTTCTCGACTGATTCAGTCAACTTTGTAACGGAGTAAACGTGCACTCCGCTTTCACGTCAAACGGTACGGGGTTCACTTTCTATAGTGGTCAATACGAACACGGAGGCATTTTACTTGGTGCCTTTAGCTTCCACGCTGCAAATTCTTCGACGTCTCCTGTTCTTGACTTGCAAAAGCTCGAAGCAATAAGTTGATTCTCGTGTGTCTTCTAGAACCGATGCTGCACGTGGGTCGCTTCTTGGTTCCTAGACGCAGCATCGCCATCGCTGTAAGTACCATTAGAGATTTTAAGTATGACGGAAAGAATTGTTGACGAAAATCAAAAGAGATATATGAGTATCGTTAAGTACCGATAACGCATTTTTGTTCTAAGTAATTGGTACCCCTTGTAGACTGGTGATAGATGGCGCTGGGTACTTTGTTGGTTGTTTGAATTTATATATATACCTTGTACACTTGTATTGACATTTCCTGATTAACGGGGAGCTGTACTAAGTATAATAACCCTCAGAGAAGATTTTAGTGGCAATAGAATACAGATGGAACCTTGTAAATAATCCATTATTATCCAGACACTGTATATTTCTTTTACAGATATTTTTTCGAAGGTCTTACTGAAGTTTTTGGTTACTTCCTCATTTAGTTTTAATTAGGTACGTATTAGGCATTATATATCCGAATGAATTAATCATTAATTGCTTCAAGCTTATTCATTGAATATCATTACTAACTAACATCATAAGCCATGTAGAGTATTGTCACTTTGTTTATCGCCAAAAGTGATTGCTTCTTTAATTAAAATATTTTTAATTAAATTTATAATTATCATTATGGTCTAATTTATGCTTTTATACGTAACGATAACATTATCCTAAAACCACAATTGACAGTGGTTCGTGATAGCGCGTTTGTGTAATGGATAACAAAAGAGATAAACATTCGTAATAATATAAACGGAAGAGACGTCGACATTTATAAACAGAAGCGACGAAGGATCAATAAATTCCACAAGGTCTGATTAAGTCAATGAACTCTAGCTTAATGATTCCTGATATCCTCAAAACCCATCCTGATAAAGTTGACTCCTTACGCATATATGCAAACTACTTAGATTTACCAGGATGACCCTTGACTGTAACGACACTGGTAGCATGCTCCTTTGAGCATAGCTTTATATTCCAGGACGGGATGTAGTTTCCACTTGACAGAAATATCCTCCTGGACTAGGAATACATCCATACAATTAGTCCCTGGCATTTAATCATATCAGGAATGTGATTCTGTTCAGGCAGCAATGGCGCAGCTGAAAGTGGCCATCATCGGCCAGAGTACATTTGCTGCCGAGGTGTATAAACTCTTGAAGCAGGATGGACACCAGATCACGGGAGTCTTCACGATCCCGGATAAGTCCAACCGGGAGGATCCTCTGGGTCAGTTAGGAACCTACGGAAAAGTATAGATTGGTAAGCCTAATAAAGGATTAATAATTAACAATGAATTTTATTTTGACAGCCGCGACTGCCAAAGCCGACAATACTCCTGTCTTCAAGATCAAAGCATGGAGGAGTAAGGGCGTACCTTTACCTGAGATCCTGGATCTTTACAAGGGTATCGAGGTCGACCTGAACGTTCTGCCATTTTGCAGTCAATATATTCCTATGGAAGTAATCAATCATCCTCGTCATCGCAGTATCTGCTATCATCCTTCTGTTCTGCCAAGACACCGTGGTGCCAGCGCGATCAGCTGGTGAGCAAATTGATTTGACAATGGCGACGCCACTGCTATTTACACTCTGTGAGTTCTTTTACCCGCGAGCCAGAGAAAGGCTACGGCTAGTTTGCAATTATCGACCAGGAGATGATGTAACTCCGGTATAGAGACATTGCATTTCCTGATTGGTTGTAACAGGTCGTAGTTTTAACCGGACCGGTTCGGTTTCCCTTCACGCTCCATATATTTCCGCAGGGCTTATTATCTCTCATTTATTCTGGTTTCATTCCTTCTGAAAGAACTTGCATGTACCATGTTTACTAGTTTAAATTATACTCACCACTTCCTTCTGTTGCGTTTAACTTGTTTTCTTGTGAGGAATCCTGCTTGGTTGGGTTGCTTCGAGAATACTCAATATGCATCCAAGAAAAAGTAATAAAATTCTGAAAATTTTTTGTCTAAGGACTTTGATAGAGGGCGACAAGGTCGCTGGATTCTCGATATTCTGGGCGGATGATGGCTTGGACACAGGACCCATCCTCTTACAAAAGTCCTGCCCAGTGGATCCTACCGATACCCTGGACAGCCTCTACAACAGATTCTTATATCCTGAGGGTATAAAAGCCATGGGTGAGGCTGTGAACCTCGTGGCCAAAGGCCTCGCACCCAAGATCCCACAGACAGAGGAAGGCGCAACTTACGACCCCATGCTTAATAAGAAGGAACTGCAGCAGGTAGACTGGAGCAAGTCTGCTGAGGTTGTCTACAACTTCATCAGAGGACTCGACAGTGTACCAGGTGCATGGACTCTTGTTCACAACGAGGAAGTTCGGTTGTACGGTGGATCCCTGTGGACTGGAGACAAACCCTCAGGAGACGTTGTCGACGTCAATGGTCAGGAGGGTATCGTACACGAAAGTGGACTCCTGGTGAAGGCCGGTGACGAGAAATTTGTGAATATCGAGAGACTGAAAATCGGTAACAGGACCATCCGCGCCAGTATGTTTGGCAAGGCTGACGATGCTGCTCAAAGTATTGAATTCACTGAAGAAGAGAAGAAGAATAACGAAGTCATTAAAAAAGTCTGGGAAAGCATCTTGAATATTGAAGTTGATAACGATACGGATTTCTTTGCTTCCGGTACGTTCTAAAATCTCTTACACTCAGTTCCCTTTATTATTGTCCATTATCTCTGCATCTATCGCCTGATACAAAAAAATACGTATTTTTGTACAGGTGCTGGCAGCATGGACGTGGTCAGGTTGGTAGAAGAAGTCAAGGATAACATCGGTGTGGAATTCCAGAATACAGATGTCTTCATGGCTCCTGTATTCCTGCAGTTCGTCACTGCCGTCGCTTTGGCGGGACGCGGGGCGTCGGCTAGCAAGAACGTGAAGTACGATGCGGTCGAACTCCGGTGTAACAATATGGACTTGAAATTTCCAAGGCAGCTATTTATTAACGGTCAATTTATTAATGGGGAGGCCAAGCCAGCACCTACGATAAATCCTCACGACGAGAGTGTCATCTGCACGGTGGAGAGCGGATCAGTTAATGACGTGGACAGAGCAGTGAAAGCTGCCAAGGCTGCCTTCGAGGATGGCGAATGGAGCAAGATCAGCGCCAGGGATCGTGGTGCCCTTCTGTTCAAGTAAATTAAACGACTGAATCCGGTTTAAATATTCTTATTGGATAAAATGATAATTTATAGCGAATCTGACTCTTCCTTTAGGTTGGCAGACCTGATGGAACAACATAAGGAGGAGTTGGCCACCATCGAAAGTATAGACTCTGGCGCTGTCTATACTCTCGCTCTAAAGACCCATGTCGGTATGTCTATTGAGACCTGGAGGTACTTTGCAGGCTGGTGCGACAAGATACAGGGATCTACTATACCGATCTCCCATGCAAGACCCAATCGCAATCTCACGTTCACGCAAAAGGAACCGATCGGTGTTTGCGGTCTGGTCACTCCGTGGAACTATCCATTGATGATGCTTTCGTGGAAGATGGCGGCCTGTTTAGCTGCCGGTAACACTGTTGTCATGAAACCAGCCCAGGTCTCTCCGTTGACGGCGTTGAAATTCGCCGAGCTCTCGGTCAAGGCTGGAATTCCTCCTGGTGTGATAAACATCGTCACAGGAAGTGGTTCCGTCACAGGAAATGCAATCGTCAATCATCCCTTGATACGAAAACTCGGATTCACAGGATCGACCGAGATCGGTCAAACTATCATGAAGTCTTGCGCTGAGAGTAACCTGAAAAAGGTGTCCTTGGAACTCGGTGGTAAGAGTCCTCTGGTGATATTCGAGGATGCTGATATTCAGCAAGCTGTGAGAGTCGGTATGGGCAGCGTCTTCTTTAACAAGGGTGAAAATTGTATAGCAGCAGGTGAGTTCAATAATATCCTAAGAAACAAAATTTTTTCAAATTCTAAAAACTAACCTTGTCCTCGTTCTTATGTCAGGTCGTCTCTTCGTCGAGGAGTCGATTCACGACGAGTTCGTAAAGAGAGTCGTGCAGGAGGTGAAGAAACTATCAATAGGCGATCCGCTGAACAGAAGTACGTCTCACGGGCCGCAGAATCACAAGGCCCACCTGGACAAGCTCTTAAAATTCGTGCAGAAGGGAGTCGAGGAAGGCGCGACCCTGGTCCATGGTGGAAAGCGTCTAGACAGGCCGGGATGGTACTTCGAACCAGCTATACTCACTGATGTCCAGGACGATATGTACGTCGCCAAAGAGGAATCCTTTGGACCCATCATGATCATCTCCAAGTTCAGTTCTAAAAACGTAGACGACCTTATAAAACGTGCCAATAATACAGAATTCGGTCTGGCTTCTGGTATCCTGACTAAGAACATTAGCAGAGCATTGAAATTCGCTGAGAAAATTGAAGCCGGTACAGTCTTTATTAATACGTACAATAAGACGGACGTGGCGGCACCTTTCGGAGGATTCAAGCAATCTGGATTCGGCAAGGACCTGGGTCAGGAAGCGTTGAACGAGTATCTCAAGACGAAGACGGTGACGATCGAGTATTGATTTTAAAAAAACCTTTTACACCCAACTGTGAATCTACGTGTATTTCATACATTCCACTTTATTTATAAATAAACTCTTAAGTAATTTTATACAATTTTATTCATAATTTATCAGTCATCTGATTCTATAAACAACAAAAAAATAGCCTTCGATGAATGGCTTCCATACAGTATCAGCAGACAGCACGCGTTGCACATTCACGATAAGATTGACGGCGTTATCGCCAACGCGATATCCTTAACAAAACTTATCGTCAAATATCACACTGTATATACAAGTTTCTTCAAGTCCCAATAATACAAGTTAAACAGAAAGGGCCTTATCCTATCGCCTCGAAGAATCTTTCGAGTCCGCACGAAAATAGCCAAAAGAGTGCACGGAGTGGAAAAAGGAGAGAGAAAGAAAAAAAAAAGGGAAACAGAAGCTCCCACACATATGGGTAGTATAAACAGTTTTTGTGAAACCCGAAGACTTCTAGTAGTTGAGGCCCCAGATGCTTCGAGGGTCTTTTTTGCCAGAGTCAAGTGCGCTTCGTCTCTTCACACCCCCAGACTCCAAGCCGCCATTTTACTTACCCATACTCACGTCAATACAATACAACCTACCCAGAATTGGGACTCATCTTTCGTCTCTCATCCTCTCGGAGCCGCGACGACGTAGTCTCTTATTTTTTTATTCATCTTCTCAGGATTACCCTGGAGATTGTTCCGAAACTCTATTAACGCATTAAGGAACATCTGCGCGAGACGCCACATAACGAAGGAGTTTTCCCCGGAGAATAGTCCCCATCAAACTGGAGGAAAATTAGATTAGCAGATCCAACGATCAGTCCAGCCACGAGAGATGATGATCCCTCGAATAAAGTTTATACGAGTTGATCCAACAAAAAAATTTAATCCAAATACATCCAAGGATAATCTAACCTAGCTGGCTGATCGTTTCCTTAGGCTGCTAAGCGTCCCCAAAGCTGACCCAAAAACCGAACAGTTCCTAGGGGCCCAAATGTTTCCTTTGTGATTGGTGTACCCATTCCGTGCACGTGATACTTTTTGTACCTGAACAGTCGATAAAGCACCTAACCCAAGTACCATAAGCATCTTAGAAGCCTATATATACATATTCATATATAAGTTCCATGCATGTATGTTTGAAAGGGGCTGTAGCAGCTGTTCCCATAAACACTGGAATAGACCCCATTGGCTGATCCTGGTATAAACCCTAACGCAGTTATACAGATCTGTCCCACGGATACTTATATATATATATATATATATATTACTCTGTATTATGTTCTCTAGCTTTGTCTCTCCAATGGTCCAATATACATCACCAGCATAGTACATATCCTCCTTCATCCTCGCCCTGGATCTCTCTATGTAACATAGAGCCGACCTAAGGGTCCCAAAAAAAAATCCCAACAAGTAGAAACGGCCGTTTAGCATTTTTGTATTTCCCTTTGCTTTCCATAAGAAAAAGTTCGTTTGGTATGCGATGACGGATCCAGGGAATAGCCTTAAGAGTGAAGAGTACAGTAATAAAAGGTGAAGGGTCACCTCCCTTATCTCACAGGATTAACTAGACAGTCTTAAGATTAATGGTTCTAACTTGTAAAAGTGCCAAAGGTGTCACCGTATCAGATAATTTCTAGTTTTTTTTTCCTTGGAAGAAGGGTGGAGGAGCTGATAATGTAGGGGTGTCTTACTACATCTTAACGCAGTATCAAGGGCTTCACCGTCGTCACGCTAAGCTCAGGCATCGTCATGCTGATCAGCATATTCATGGTGAACAGGAAATGCAAATTTCTCAAAAGCGTCCCGACTGGTCCCACGTCTCAGGACAGTGCCCTCTGACCCTATCGCCCTAGTCCAGGTCCCTTTCTCCATTCTCCTTCACTCCAGTTCAGAGGTCCTCTCAGGTACCAGGCACTTTCCAGGGAGAGTAAAAGGGATCAGCCGGGACTCTTCCCACGAGGAGCCAACCCTTGCACAACATTAGAAATCCACACGTGAATCTACGCTGTTCGGTGAATGTGAATGTCGGCTACGTCCGCAACGAGATAAACACGTCCTCTCCATATGTTGTATATAAACCATACTGCATGTAGAACATACGTATATGTACAGTATAACGTCAGTAGTCCGAATGACTAATTTCACCCATAATCTAAAAGTTCAAAAAAAGTACAAAAAAATATTAAAAATTTATAAAATAAATAAATATATATATATATATATGTATTGAAGAAACGATGAATACGACCACAGACGATCTTACGAGACGAGGTCGAGAGGTCACGGAGGGACGGAGGAGTAGATGAAGCATATATCTAGAAAGAGTAAAAGAGAGAAGAGAAAGAAAGAATAGTGACAAAGAGAATATGGCGCCGGACACATGTCAGAGTAAAAGCATATACATATACGTACACACATAGTATATATAGTATATATATATTGAAGACCTATACTCGGTGTACCCCTGCTACATAGTAGAGAAACGGTACTGTGACGATACGTATGACGGCATAGTGGCAGTGTTCCTCTGGTACCACGTGTTCGACTCTCCCCGTCAAGCCCCTCGAACCCCCCGACACGGAATCCAATTCAGTTTCGCTCGGACTGCCATTCGCGGCACTCGTACCAAGAAGGAGGCAGCCAGGTTTTTCGAACCGTCGAAGTTCGTCAGCGTCGTCGTCATTGAGTGACCAGATAAACACGAGTGCGCTACGTTCCACGAGAGTAAATAGAAGTATTACGCCACAGCAGTGTTCGGACCCCCATTTCTGTATTAAGAAAAAGCCGCTACTCTCGAAACTCGCACGAGTTCACGAGTCGACTGTGGTGCGATTATCTCGCGCGATATAAGTGCGATACGATTGCGACATAGACACGCGCCTTGAGGTTGGTCGACCAATGGAATTATCTCGACGCGTCCGAGTTCATCCTGCATGACTTTTCCGAACGACGTGGGAAAGCAGTATGACGCACGAGGGGGGTTACCCGCAATCAGTGAGTGCGACTTATCGAAAGATGCGGAAACGAAGCCGCACGCCCCTTATCTTGAGCGACCACGCGGTTTGGCACTTACGCGCATTCGAAATTGTGTTGGGACTGATATAAATGTTATTTTATAAATATATACGAGTGCCTGATCGAGGCGAACTCTTTGTTCGTGTTAGAGGAGGGCGGAGGGGGATGGCTGGTGGGTCAAATCGAGGACTTTTAATGTAGGTGACTCGGGGGGGTTTATTAGTATCGGTGACTGGCTGTCTGTGTGTTTTTTACCGTGTCTCCCCTGCTTATATATTTCTTTAAACGTGCCGGACGTTAAGAGCTCACGGTATATGTATACTGCTGCCAGCGTCGCGACGCAGGACGCCGGTTGTTTGTTAATCCCTGTTGGGTAGTTTCGGCCACGTAGTGCGAGCGCATTGAAATCAAGTGGCTGATCGTTACATGAAAATATTGATTTATATGATCAGAGCCGTCTTTGTTGCACGTTGGAGGATTTATCTGATTGTTATCTTAACCGAGTCGGGTCTATGTTTTATCTAGCCTTGTTATCCGTAACGGTCAGAGGTTAACCGCGAGCACTGGAGGTTACTGCGTGACTCTCCTTGATCCGACATATTAAGTTCCCGCGCTTTTATCAAATATTCAAACAGTCTCGAAGATAAACCGCAGACGGAATTGTCTTGGGTCCTTCGATGTTACCTGAATAGGGTATATAGAGGTTTATCCTCTTTTGGTGAGAGTGCACGTATTTATTGAGTCATCTGACACGTGAGAGAAATAAGAACGATTTGTCATCTGATACAGATTAGGAATTAGCCTTCCAGAATGTGGAAAATAGTTATCGGCTCGCATGAGAGAAGAGAATTATTTTCGAATCGACGAAACCGCATCTGCTACCGATAAGAAATTTATCTTTTATCAGTTATCCTAGGAAGTGGAAACTCGACCGGAAGTAAGCCGCCAACTCGATATCCGTTACACCCGTAAATGCTCTTCCACGAGTTTTCAAATAAATTTATGTATATATTTAATTAGAAATGGTTGTACCATAAACCGCATAAAGGACCTTGTGCTACATTACAAAGAGAACCTTCGTTGCCTTGGACGGTTAGAGAAAATAAATGTTTTCCCCACTCAAAGTGCAGTGAATGCATTGAATGTCTCCCAGGAAGAAAGACGAACGTGCCATACGTTGGCACGTTGTCTGGGGAGCAGATGTAGCAGAAGGTCTAGTATGTCAGTCTAGTCTAAGCAACCGATGGTACCAGGCCCCTGGGTAACTATTTCGGGTTTGGGTCCAAACGCGTGAACGAGGAAAAAGTAGTTGTGAAGAGTGAAGCATAGGATTACCAGGTAGACGCAGATAGGTAGGTAAAGATAGAAAGAGAAGAAAGGACAGTGGTAATAGCAGAGTGCCAAGGACAGAGAGAACCGAGTATTCGTTCAGGTCAAGGGATGCAGCTCGATCTTAGCTAACGAGCGTGGGATTTTCCGTAAGCATGTCAAGACAGAAAGAGAAAGATGAAGGTTCTTCTTGTCAGAACAGCCAAGACTCCCAATGGTTGCCTGAGGTCGCGAGTCCTTCAATCTTCAGTGTCTCTTCCGTGTTCACCCTAAAACATATGACTGTCAGTATATCTTACGGGGGTTAGGGCGCATTTCTAAGTAGCTACCTACGTGTATTTGGATATTTGAATTATTACTTGTCCAGTTTGATTCTGGTCGTTATCCTTCCTGTCTTTTCGTATCACTTTAATGGCGACAGTGGAATTCTGTAAAGCACCAAGAATTTGAGCTGCTCTACGTGCTACGATATCGCGGTTGTCGTCCGCCTCTTCCTGTTTCCTTCGTGGGTTCCTTTTGCTACCAGGGTACCAACGGTTAATCTCAACGCCGCAGCTTCCTGTGGGTGGAGCACGAAGGCCTCTTATAAAGTTAGCTGCCTCTCGTGAAAAACCGTCAGACTCTTTGTGTCCTACGCGCTGTGCTGATCGGACGACGGTATAGCCCGGCTCTGGCTGGACCTTCGTCGATTCAAGCAGTCAGCCTGTTTTTGACATGTGCGCGAAATCTGTTTCCTGAGTGAATAAAAAAAAAGTCTTAGAGATCTTTTAGAGTTTAAAAGAAGTGCAGTGGTCCCACGGTGTATTTGAATTTCCCGCCAAGAGACTCCTCAGGGAATCCAACGTCTGGAATAGCGTCGGCTACGTTGCGGCTCATCATTAGGCACTTTGCTATCCTAAAGAAATGCGAGCTGCCTTTTGAAGGGCAACATCGTGGCGGATGACGTCGTCGAGCCTCGAGTGCGACAGGAAGCAAAAACAAAAAGAAACTGTATACTTATAATAAAAAAAAAAAGATTAATAACAGTGACAAAGATTACCTTGTATACATTGTACAAAGTTTCTTCAATCACAATAAATATTTAGGGGTGTAATAAATATAATCGATGACGTAATAACAGGTGTGTCTAGACTCATCCCCTTCCTGAAGTATCCGATGTCCTTCCGTTGATGACGCGTATCTCGTCCATTGCTGCCAATTTTTCAATTGTCCACTCTGCGAAGTTCTTTATCTCCCCAGCTTACTTCCTAAGGTACGTTTTACGGCCAGTTGATACTACGGATGTCGATTTCATCCAGGAAGTGACGTCAGCTGCAGCATCTATACTGATCCGTAGAGATAGACGCTATGACGTCATACGTCGATCGGTCCAAGGTGATCGAGAACAGAGTCCCAATAAGAAATGTCATACAACGATATCTGCGTCTAGATATAAATGTAACTTTAATCAGGTACCGTAAACCGGCGATACAGGATTCACGCCGAAGGATCACGTAATGACGGACCGTCGTGACGTCGAAATCTCACGGAAGTCTCCATCATTTTCTATTTATTGAAAAATCAGGCTCCGGGTAGACGCTCTCTTTCTCATTCTCTCTCTCTCTCTCTTATGCATCTCGTAATTCACTTAATTAATTAAATAAAATATCCAGGATGCAACAGATGGTAGGTCATGGGTAAGCGAAGTGTTTGGAGTGAAAAATTGAATTGTTATTTTTATACGATTTTTTGGTCAAATAATTTATCGCATCAACTTATCATTTTCCTTACACGCATTATCTGGTACATCCTGCAGGACGGATCAGAGAATCGTCCTAGGATCCAATGATCAATGATTTCATCCCGAATGGAAATGGAGGTCGATCATCAAAGTCTTGATCGAATGTTAACGCGTGTAAAGAGAATTAATAATTAACAGAATCCCTCGCACTTTGGAGGTGAATTTTATTTAAAACTTTTGGTACATGATGCATTTCGTGCGAGCTCGAATCACTGCCTAACGCGATTCCATTTCAATTCGACAACGTTTGATCTATTCGCACGTGCAGTATTTAAGCTCCCAGCCATCAAAACAGCGTCATCGAATCTCTATCGCGGAACGGAGATAATGTACAATTCAATAAGGACATTCTCATTAACAAGATAATGACAAAGGGATTAGATTTCACAGATTTTTAAAATTAACAACAATCGACTGACATTTAATTAATTAGAAGCGCCATAGGACTATATCTCGAATTGCATTTTGCTTATAATTTTCGGTTTCGAAAGAATCTTTTATTTTCATTGAAAGAAATAATTAATTTTAAGGACGGTACTCGATTCCCTTGTTTTCTCTTATAAATAAATATATATATATATATATATATATATATATATATTTCTTTTCATTCTTTTTCTCTTTCTCGGGATAACGTACATTCATTCGTTATATCTATATTGCGTGTTACGCAGAGCGTCTTCTTCGTGAACGTGTGAAATAGGAATTGGTTATGAGAATTTAAGAATACGGTCTCTACCTAGGACTTAATGGTGCCTGCGACACGACGTGACTTGCGGAGAGAGTGTTAATGACGCCGGCAGTGAGGATTCCTTCGTAAAATAATACTCCCCCTTTCGTTACCTTTTTTTTTCTTCTTCTCTTTCTCCTATAAAAAGTCAGTCTCGTTTTCTATATGGTGTCACGATACACTAACATACGTGCGTATATATACATATGCTCAGCGATTCGTACAAAACATTATTATTTTTAATTTTTCGCCTATTTGTTGCCTCACGGATGATCCCAGGAACAGTGTCACAATATTTATCATTCAAAGATCCTCATCGACGGGATCCAATTTAAAAATTGCAACAGATACATGTATTCCTTACTATTTTCATACGCCCAGCGCGTCGTGCTGTTCTCTCGATTCTTTCTAGCTTCTTTTCAAGCGACGTAACACATTAAAAATTGAATGACACCGTAATTGTATCGTATCGTATCGCATCGCTAAAACTTCACGCTCCCTTAATGTATATAACCGGTAAATCATTAAAGTTAAAAGGAAATATACAACACATAGAACTTGCTTCTCTGAAACATATCAAGAATGGCTAAAAACATTAACAAACTCGAGTGGCGTCCACGCCTCGTCCTTTCCAAAGGCTCAACCGAACGCGGTTAGAGAATTTGCACGCGATGACATATCATTCCGAGAACATCTTCACGAGCCACGCTTGGCTTATCTCGAGAGCGCGTTATCTCAATGATTCAACAGTTCGTTCGCTGGATGAACCCGACGTAGGCGACGAGCGAAATTTGACGATCGGAAGGAACTGCTGAGAGTCGCGGTAAAACGCGAGTCAAGAGCGAGCCGCGTGGATACGCGTGAATCGCGTGTATTTGTTCTTTGATTTCGCAACGAGGAAGAAGACGGAAAGTTTCTGTAAGTCTAAAGAATCTAAACTTAACGGCGGACAGAGAGAAAAGAAAAATCGAATGACGTTAATCTATGCCGCTATGATGCATATTTCATATATATATTTTTAATTATTTTCTCTTTTTCCTTCCTCCCTCTCCTTCTCCTCTTCGTTTGGATCTTCCCCCTCTTCTTCCTGTTTCTTCTTCTTCTTCTTCTTCGTTAGAGCTTGCCTAGCGTTATCGGTGAACGGTGGAACGCAAGAGCCCCTTTACGGATGTGCCAAGCTGATGTTTCAAGCTCCAAGCGTCCTGGACGACTTTCCATACCTGGAGAATGACTACGACAACGACGCCGGCGACGACGACGAGGACGACGACGATGATGAGAGCGACAAGAGCGTCGAAGGAAAGGACGACGGCGGCGGCGGCGACGACGACGTAGTAGACGACGAGGATGACTCTGCGTTCCGTGCAGGGTGCTTGTAACGTCACCAGAAGTGAGACTGCACGTATCCACCGCCCATGCCGATGGGATTGAAGCGATGCGGATGTATCTTTTCCATCCTCATTGCGCCAGGTCCGCCGCCGCCGCCACCGCCGCCGCTGCCGATGAAGTTCCCGTGATGTCCACCGCCTCTGGGTCCGAAGCCTCCGTTACCTCTACCTAGCATTCCTGGACCACCGACTGTCATCCCACCGCCTCCCACTCCGGTAGTGGCATTGGCCGAGCTGCTTCCACGACCTCGTCCTCCGCCACCTCCGCCGCTGCCAGTGACGCCGCCGCAACCACCTGCAAGCCAAAAGGTATAACCTCTACTAGGACTACTCGTGTGCTTCCTTCGTATACTGAAGATCGAAGATCTCCCGAGGACCGGGACGACATGGGAAACTGAACTCGTAGGTAGTTCGCGATGATGGGGCGATGCGGGATGAGACAGTGATTAGTATCCAAGGTTGACGGTAGACAATAATAAAAGGTTGAGGAACGTGATGCGTGGATCTTTTTTCAAAAAAGGCGAGAGGATCGATCGGCAAGGCTGCTACTTTCACTCTACTTTTTAATTTTTCCTTTTTTTTTTTTTTTTTTTAATCATTTAATACTTTAATGAATGAGTACGCCCTGACACGATACACTGCTGCTTGCGGGTTTCGGGTAACAATAAGAAAATTACAAATCTGTCTAAAACTTTGAAAAAAGGAAAAAAAGAAGATTGGACACACTCGTGTCCTAAGTAACCGGTACACAAGATTCTCGCGCGAGCTTGGCGACGTTCCCATTCGCAGCATCCTGACTAGCACCAAAATCCCTAAGCACGCCCTAGATCTGATAACAGACTCAAGGACAAGTTATCGGAAGAATACAAGAACCCCAAGAAGGTACGTTTCACGTACGTTAAAAGCTTTTGCTCTTGGTAGGAAAGGGAAGATCGCCAGTACGCGATACACATACATGCGATTATCGGGGTGATTTTCATTATATATATATATATATATATGACTATGACGTTCAACGCTCAACAACATATAAATATAAATATACAAACAATCGCATAATTAATTATGAACATTTGGTTCAACGATTATAATGTCTCTATAATAATAATAATAATAATAATAATATTAGTACGTTATAATATCAATGGTAGCATTCTACGTTCGATATAATCATATACGATCCTTTTTCGTTAAATCGTAAGAATCAATTTCGTGGGGGAGGAGGGAGGGGGTCGCAGGACCCACCTCTATGTTACTCATTCATTTATGTCCATTGCTACGTATACAGTATCTGCATATTACGTGCGTAAGAGAAAATGCCGAATGTATAATCGGCAACGTCGCAGATATTTCATAATTTATTGCATAACCTCAACATTTTTACATTTCTCGGGCGTAACAAAGAATGCCAATGGGGCAATTTTTTGAGCTTCGTTTTACCCTCCCCTCCCCCTTCATCCAGTGGCAATTAACCCCATTACTATTGACCTCAGAATATTTCGAAAATGAACTGTGCAGAGTTATCAGTTTCAAAGACGTTTATCATGAAAAATTCATCCCCTTCGTAAATTGACTGATTAATAGAACCTTACGAATTTACGTAAATCGGCGCTATTTTCTATACCGACGGTATCGCGAAACAGAAAACGATGCTTCGTTCACTATTCGCCACGTGCGATTCGTCTTAGCCTTATCACAGCCATCTTTAGCAAAAAGCGAAATCGAAAATTCCAAGATTATCGTTTCTTGTCGTCCTTCGGGCGATTCCGTGAATCTTCGTGCGTCTCCGTAATTGGTATACGGATAAATACATATATTTTTTAGTGTCCGATCCGTACCTTCTCAAGTTGAATTATTTTTTTTTTCACGTTGGCTGCCCTCGAATAAGCTTGTCGCACAATTCAGTCCATAAAATAATTAAACTACGTTCGACGTCCTTACGTAATTGCCCTACTTACCGATTATATAGTAAAGAGTTGGATAAAGATTGATTTATCTATTTACAAATTTACCCCCCCCCCTCCTCGCCCATCGACAGATTCCCAATTTCGCGATTGAGCTCTTCGATGAAAACGTCCATCGTGCTAGCCCATAGGGAGACAGCCGTGTACTTAGACACAGGATACGTATATAATCGATCGACCGATTAACGAAACGAATATACACAACAGTATTACTGTATATATGTATGTATATTGTATAGACCCATAGATCGTCTTACGATCCAAGTGAAGGATAAGTTGCGAAATGTAAAAATTACGCAAGACGTTTCCACTTGTAGGAATGTTCCTCTTTTGATTAACGATCTAATTGAATCAGTCAAAACTGTAAAGCTTCGTTTTCATCCTCTTCTCGTTCTTCTGCTTATCTTAAATCTTCCCGTGAAAAAACAGACCCAGAGAATCGCTATGTCCTGAAGTCATCTTCAAGCTGTGTAAAAAGAGACAACTTCGGGTAGGTACGAGACGTCTCGAAGATGACTTCTGGACAGCCAGTGTGTGTCGTTTAGCTGGCTCCGAGCCGACAGCCATAATTTTGAGCGCAGATTCACTTTGGAGCGAACAGCCACCCAACGCGTGACCTTGAATTTTATGTCTTTTAGACCCAGTCGAGTGTCATCGGCAGATTCGCAATATTTAGATTACTGAAATTTCCTGTAAATCACCCATCCGGAAGTCACTAAGTAATGGACTCTGGCTACGTCTCTCTACGAATCTTGCGTTTTCTTACCTGTAAGTAAGGTGGATCAAGTATATTAATATTTTTAAACATTTCATGTTAATTAGTCAGTGTCCAATTGAAATTGGTTAATTAACAACCGAATGACATCCACCTTACCCAGGTTGAAACGTTGATTATCAGTTTTGTATATAAACCTCGAAGTTCAAATAGAGCCGAAATATAAGGATGAAAAATAATCTGCCCGAAAGTCCAAAACTATCTCTTACGCGGTGAAATCTTAAATGCTACATCAGAAAAAAAACCTTTGCGACCGTCATTTCCGGTTTTCGCCATTTTTTCTCGTTAAAACCTTTTTTTCCAATATCAATCATAAAACAGACGACTCTTTCGCGAACCTTCGTTTCCTACGTTTCTTAATACTTTCCAATACCTTGTAAACCAGTCTTATAAAATTTGTCAAAATAACGACTTACACCGAGAGACAATCGAATCCCTATGAAATTTAGACCGCAAAGGCTTTCAAGACTACCGTCTATCTAATCACTGTTATCAACGTGCCACTGGAACTTTAATAATAAAGTACTCATTACCCACTAACTTGGACTACTAGAGTCTGATTATCGTTGAATTGCATTGCCATTCCCGAGATAAAACTGGACGTTGTTGCAACGATGCGATCATTTGAGACAATTAAAATATTTAAAAATAACTAATTTTAGTAAAGACCGCCCTCTTGTTCATCTGCAACGTTAAATCCACAACTACAAAAAAAAAAGAGCCCACAATTTAACCACTTGACCTGACATTTAAACAGAGGTCGGGTACAGACCCAAACGTGCAAAACAATTGTGGACTGCAGATAGCTGAACGTGCCTGGAAAACGTAATTCCCAGTTAATTGAAAAAAAAAAAGGAAAATCAAAAACAAAACGGCCAATCGCATCGTTGAAAATACATCCAAAGCGGGACACATTATTTTCTCCTTGACTGTTGATTTCACAAAGGATCACTAACAATAGGTAATGTCTTCGTTGAAATTTAGCGAAGAAAATCGTAACGATTAAATAGGACAATAGCAGCAGTAACGGTAGTATTAATGTTAATAGCAGTATTAATAGTAGCAGTAGTGCAGTAGCAGTGCAATAGTATCTGCACGATACAATAATACAGAGAAAGTATCAGCGGCCCGAAGACACCATTTTTTGATTAGCATTTTTGTACCAGAAAAATCGTCCACGAGTGCTCGCTCGTGTGAGTCGATGACGCGAGCAGCCGCCATTTGTATTACAGTATTGTTCGAACAGTCCGATAAATCAACATCCGCAAGTCAGACTAGCAAATATTTGTCTCGAGACATCTGATAACTGAAATCCAGAGGGAAAAGAATGGACACGCGTCTTTTTTCGAAATCTATCCAACTTACGATTCCCTCAAAAATCTTCGATTAAAAAGAATTAATCGCGCGCATGCGCAACAACCACAGCCATATCTCGCAAAGTTCATTATCGACTCCTCAATTGAAAATGAAGACGCGTCGTCGCGTCCCTAGTAGAAATTTCCATCCGGAAGTCCGAGGCCTGACCAAGGTTCACCGATCCTCAGGACCAATGGAAACAGGAAAAGACAGCCCCCTCGTTGAAGGCCTCGACGAACCCTCGATTACCAAAGTCAAATTCCTACTAGGGACTGTACAAAGTTTTTTATTAAACCTAACCTTAAAACTTGAGCCATCCTTGCCCCCGTACCTTATCTCTCCAGCGAGAGTCCTGGACATCGAAAAATCGTTGTCAGATACAAAGACGGAATAAAATCTTAAAAATCCATCAGGACTGAAGTTGAAAACGACTTTCGATCCCGTTTAACCGTAAACAGTTTCAGGATATATACAAACATGTCGGACAGCATCCACTTTCACGGGCCGAGACGTCAAACTCGAGATAAACTGATATATCGAGCACCCGATCGAGAAGAATTAACAATTAATTAGCTATCTAACCTCATTTTCAATTAGACTAGGATAAATGTAGTTATAGCCCTCGAGGAATCTCCAGTAACGTGTCCCCTTGGCATTCTAATAGCACGATCCTCTTCAATCTCAATTATTCGTACCAGACTCCTGGCTTATTGTCAAGACCCAATCATTATTAATTAACTGGCGAGTGTTAAATAAATCCCAGAGATACTCGGAGTCAGCATCCCAAATACTTATTGTGCGCGTTCAAAGTTATCGCTCAGATTGACAAAGACCTGGTGAAGAAGATACAAAAAAAAGGGAAAAGGTATTCGATTGACAAAAGATTGACAATAGGATAAATCTCAGCCAAAGTACCAAGTTCCGGGAGATCCCTCAAGAGTGCCGAACACAAAAGTGTCTTTCCTTAATTGTGATAATTCGGATAGTGTTGATATTTTTTCCTCGTTGCGTACAAACACTCTCCTTGATGGATTCGGTAGGCATTGAAATAGAAATGTCAAGTTAGGAAGATTCGTCGACTCCAATCGAGAGAGAAAGAAAGAGAGAGAGAGAGAGAGAGAGAGAGAGAGAGAGAGAGAGAGAGAGAGAGAGAGAGAAAAGAGCATACGTCAAGCGCTCACATAATAAAAATAAATATCAGAAATATAGATAAACAGCTAGACAGATATAGAAATAATAAGTCATACCAGCTCGTCAAGATCAAATAACAGATAGTTTATCAAGAGACAGATTAAAGATAGTATGATAAATATATAAATATATATATATATATATATATTTATATAGAGACAAGGAGCCATGCATTTGGATATTAGCGAAAGCAATATCTGCGAATGCCAGGCATAGAGTCTAATAGTAACGGAGAGTCGTTGAGACTTATAAAGAGATGCGCACGCAGCTAGCAAACAAAAACAAGGAAACAACCAACCAACCACCCTCTTACGGACGAGCGAGAGAGAAGAAGAGGAAGAAGAAGAAGCGTCACGATCGTCTCTCGATTCGATTTTTAATTAATCATTGAGAGCGTGTCCCCCTTTTAAATCGTCCTGACGATCAATGGCGGGACGCGTGTGATGATTTCGTTGTGGTTTATGGTACCGATGATGCGACGCCGATGGTGCTGGTTTCTCATGGTATCCTGCCGAGGACGACAGCAGGATTGGATACGAGGATTGTTGAGAAGATTATAAGAGAAAAGGAAAAAGAAAAAAAAATGAAAATGAAAATAAAACTTTTAAGACAAAGTACAGTGAGAGCCGCAAATAACAGTCGTGGTGTAACAGTGGTGAAAAATAATTATATATTTCTCAGGATAAACCTTTCAAACGATACAGCAATGGCGCAAAAAGCAGTTACTAATATTACTCGATACAAAACGAGGAGACATACGGCAGCCTAACAGCAAGAAATCAGATTGTAGATTGACGCGATTCATGTATAAAAGTAATGGCAACGTGGCGAGAGATACGGACATACACGCTGTGAGCACAAGGACGCGCTTTACGAAAAGTCAAAGCTCAGTGCAAACTTTAGGCGCAACAGAAGATTCTTGGTGTTCCAAGGTATAAAGAAAAAAAAAAAATAAATAAATGAAAAAATGAAAAATGCCTTGCGAACGACAAAAATTTGTCTTGAAAGTAGGAAAAAAAAATTAAAAAAAAAGTCTGCTACGTATCGCTGGATTCCTCGATTTGCGGCGTGTGCAAAAGTACGACTGAGAGCGCTTGATATTTTTGTTTTTCTTTCTTCAAATTCGTCTTAACGTCACACGGACGTTCTTTCACGGAAAGAACAGTAATAACAATAATAATAATGTCGACGGGCGATGGAGTACAAATTTATCATCCATATATCCGTTGCACCCGTCTGGCTCGGGTGGCGCGAAACATTTTACAATTCGAATCGTCGTAGGACGAAAACCGCGAGAAAAAAAGAAAAAAAAAAGGAGAAATATTTGCAAACCTACAAGCGAAAAAGTAAAGAGTAAGAGAGGCAGACGGATAAAAGAAGAAAAGAGCGAGCACACTCCTGCAACCTCTCAACGGCCGCGGGAAAAATTCAAACGCGAAAAGTCACGCGGGGCCTGCGCATCGTTGGGCCAACGAATGAAGAGAAAAGAAAAGAAAGAAAATTCGCATAAATGTACAAAATATTCAAGAAGAGAAAAAAAAATGAAATAAATATCGACAAACTTTCCCGCCATTGCAGGGCTACGTAGCTCTGCGCGCAATTCCATACAATTACGATGAGATCGTCTAGTTTAAAGGCTAGTGCGAGAGATGTCGTTGAAATCCGACATAGAGGTGGCCATCTTATCTGACAAAACATTTGCGAATTAGATTGGTGGTACGTCAAGGCACAGTGACGAAAATAAAAAAAATCAACATTAACATATCTTACAAAATCACAAATACGTTTACCAGCTACTATGGACAATTAGCCCTTTTTACTTTAAACAAATATCAAACGCAAGGATAATTGCATCTCAGTAATAAAGCATGCTAAAAGATTCGTGTCAAGTGATTGGCGGCGGAGGAAAGGAGGCCCCCGTTAATTCTCTAGCAGCCAAAGGCAATCATCAACAAAGGACTATGACAACAACAGCAGCAGCAACAGTGCGCGAGAGACGAACAAAGAAATCGAATTGTTACAAAGATTTAAAGTGCATGGAGAATAAGGAAAACGTGAAGAAACAAAAAACAAAGAGCAAGATATTGCAATAACCAGAGGAAAGAGAAAAAAAAGAAAAAAACAAGGTTCAATGTTGACGCAAATTTGGCTAACATCAACTTCTCGATACAACGCATTCCCTTCTCTATTTATATCCAACGCGAAACGACGCGTCGTAAAACAAAGAAAAACACGTAAAGACGTAACACACGATACGGCAAAAAAAAAACAAAAAAAAATCATTAAATCAAAATATGAAAACTTACGCTACAACGTGACTGAAAATAATGCAACGTGTAAGGTATGCATGAGAACAGTGTGTGTGTGTGTGTGTGGTACGAGAAAAGTAAACCGACGATTTTAATCAATTAAATTAAAAGGAAAAAAAAAAGAGAAAACCACGTGAAATAATCCAAAGAAAAAACCATCGTTACGAGTCTTCCTTCAAGTCGAACTACCATCGACTCCAAAATGCATTCAACCCCCTTTACTCGTGTTGCATTACGCGCCGGTCGCCTGCAGTGAGATCAATAGTGCAGCGAAACCTGAACGAGAGTAGTAGAGCACAGAGAAAGAGAGTATTGCAAGGTCTGATAAGAGAAGCAGGAGACTCACCCGTCCATTTTCTACATCATTATTATGACTGCAGGAAAGCATGTTTGAAATTCAGATATGAGGACAGAAAGGATCATTGAGATCATCTCGATTGGATCATGTAAATGACAACTCTATATTTTTGTTCTTGTTTGTAGGCTACTGAAAAGATGTGTCTTTCTCTCTCCCTCTCAGTCAGAGTAACGGCAACACGAGTAAAACCGAGTGAAAACCCGATGCATACAGGAATATTGGTAATTGGAAAGATATTGTTGCATGGTACTCACCGCGACTCTGATTGTAACCAGCCTGCCAGCCAGCGTAATACGCAGCCTTTTGCTTGCCGTGTTCCTCGGCAATCTTAACACTCAGCGGTTCCGATCCGCCGTCAGGTATCGTACCGTGTAGATGATTGATCGCTTCCTGAGCCTCTTCCCGCTTGTCAAACCTGCAAAGTATAGCAGATAGATGAAATAAAAATAGTTGGACAGCCTCCGAGCCAGAAGATCAAATTATTATTTTAGTTTACACGTTCAAGTGGCTCATTATGCTTGGGACAAGGATGTAGCAGATGATCACGTCTTACACGCCAAGAAAAATACAAACGAGAATTTTGTCTGTTCGTCTGACTCGTACGTGTCATCCTTCGAGAGTAAAGTGGGTCGTAGTCGCGTCAGTCGCACTGGGCTAGAGAGGCTAGCCGGACCAGGGAAGAGGTGTAAATTGAAATTGTGCAAGTCAAGCTCAACTCGAGTTCCGCGCAGCAGAAATACTCTGGCACGACGAGATTTTGAGGAATAACCGTGCGTGCCGGCACTACGAGTTTGTCGTGACAACAGTTACATAATGTTGCACCTAGTCCCAACGAGCGACAGCTGTTCCGGAGCTTTTGAATTCGATCCAATATCCAATATATCGAAATGAGAGCGAAATACACGACTATGACATTTTCTGGGCTCGGATGGTACTTTGACCTATTAACCGCGTGCAACCTAAGCAATAGGACTACTTGTTGCTTTATTTTTTTTTTAAAGCTGTTATAAAGATATTGTATTCTGTTGTTTGTATCGAGATTTAAATACCGACTAGAACGAAGAAGTTATTGAGAAATTTAACAACGATGATTACATGTTTTCGTGTATAGTGAGATTTGAGGAGACAATGGCAATTTGCCAATTTGATAGAATGTATTTCGCGATGCGTTTTTCTGTTTACGGGGTATGTCAAGAGATGGTCAATATTTAAAAAAAATGACAGCTTTACTCACCTGACGAAGGCCACTCCTCTCGGCAATCCAGTCAACTTGTCTTTTAGAATGTTTTTTTGCACGATGTTGCCATACTTGCTGAAAATATCGTCTATCTGGCTCTCCGTTATGTTCCTGCAATTCGTCGAGCGTATATTTATAGACGTTGGTAGCGCTGATAAACTGACCTACGGCCATCTAACTATGCTGGAAATATCACCAACACCACGCACACTACGAGATCGATTGCTTTAGAAGCCACGTCAAATGTCACGCGTTAAATAACAGCATCAAACTTGATCGATCAATGACGTTTCTCTAATTACTTGTATCTCTTTCTTGGACAGGTTAAAGACGGTTTATATGCAATATCAATTTTCAGAGAAATATATGCAAATTGATTACATACCGCGGTAGGTTTGTGACGTAGAGGTTCGTTTCCTTGATTTCTTCTCCAGAAGGACGTGCAAAGGATACCTTTAAACGTTTATTTTGAACCTGAAGACCATTTAGTGTATTTATCGCAGTCTCTGCATCCTCTGCCTTTGCATAATTGACAAAGCCAAAGCCATAACTATAGCCAGTCTGTAAAAAAAACAAATGTATTAAATTGTTTGTTGGTATTTTCTATGTACACTGGATACATGTTAAAAAAAATACTTTGAGATATACCCTGTAGTCCTTCATGACCCGACATGATTCGACAGGTCCAATGGTGACAAACATGCTGTAGAGCTCCTTGTCGGTCATACTTTGTGGAAGGTAATTGATGATGAGGTTGGTACGTGGTTCCTCTCCACATTTGATTTGCTGTTGTTGTTGCTGCTGTTCGTGCTGATCGGTCATTTTGCGATATCTTGCAAAATCTCGTCCTACAGCTTGATTTGGGCTTTGAGTCGAATGCTGAACTGTCGAAGGCAAACAATCTGGTGCCTGTTGCAACTGTTGTTGGGATTGATGTGGCTGCTGCTGTTGCTGTGAGCTCCAACTGATATCGCCGAGCAAAACCAGTGACAGGGTCGGCAAATACAAAAAATATAAACAAATTTGTTACTATGTCTTCCCCGTACAAAGCCATACTCGCCGGATGGCCTGTTCTTACTCTTTCACTTTTTAAGCAGTTTGAAATAAATAGAAAATAAATGTGCATTTATGATGCCAGACCTGTGTGTCAGAAACAAACAAACAAACGCAAGTAAGGACAAAACGAAAGGAACAAATTGACCAAAACTAAAGAGACTAAATGCTAAAATGAATCATCAAAAGTAAAGTCTAGATGCTATCAAGGTTATGTATGCAAGTCTAAATTCCATGCTACAAATTTGTATTAAAAAATCACTGAATATTCTTTAAGGTATGTCACTCAAAATCCAACAAATTGATTTATCGACAAATATTAATTACATGCTTTTCAGTATCTATAAAACAATTTCCAGGCTACGCTTTCATAAGCACAAGTTTTTAAATTTATAAAATTTTGACTAGATTCATTTTAGATACTTTGTCACTGACGGTAAAAATAAAGTAGGTAACAGACACTACATACAGAAGCCAAGGAAAATAGATGGCCAGTGGTTAAATGTAGACCTTTAACAAAGTCCTTGCACAAGTAGCACCGCGAGCTTGTATAAATTTACACGATTCGCATGCCAATTAACAAAATTTTTTTTTACTTCAACGTTGAAAGTACAATAACAAACCTAAATAGAATTTACCACGCGAACCAAAGAAGACGCGAGACGCCTCATCAAGATAGAAAAAATAAACCACAATGTTTATACCATATAATCAACTGCGCGGCATCAACGAATAATATAAAAAGATTCACATTTAATTCCGACCACGGTTAATAAAGAAAAAAAGAAGAAAAAAAAAAGAAAACCTAACTTTCCACGAAAAAACAAAGTCGTACAAAATGTACGTAAACGAAACACACAACAAAACAAGGCGCGCAGCGGCCCGGTAAATTCATGAATCAACGAACATGTCAGGAGTCAGAGAGACAAAGATAGCAACGCGATGCATCTATGATGAAGTCGAAGAATAAGCGAGAGAGATATACATTCGGGCGCGCACATTTTCCATCTCTCTCTTGAAAATTATACCCACGTCAAAAAAGCTTGTAGTCTACACCATCCACCACACCAGAGGAACAAGGAAAGATATACACAGGCAGAGTGAGTAATAAAATAAGACGTGAGAGGTTAAGAAGAGAACCAAAGAAGAGAAAACACGCACTCACTCGTTCACTCGCGTCACACGTGTATGCAGTTAGGATATGCACGTCGAATAATTACGTAAGCACGTTGCACTGTACCGAAAAGGCGTAAAGTGAACCGAACGCGACAGGATGGAAGCGCCGCCAAGCGAAATAGCAGCGGAGACGGATACGGAGCGACGAAAGACAACTGTACCACACAACTAACTCGGATAAGAGCTCGCGTCGGAATGCGGCTAATTCGCCGAGCGTAAGCGCACTGAGCCCCAGCCCTGACCTGCCTCGCGAAACACCCTCTCGTGGCCCGCGGAACCACTACTCCTTCCCCCTCTTCCTTCTCTTCTTCTTCTTCTTCTTCTCCTTCTCCTACCACGGAAATAGCAATTCCCCACAGCCTGTCCAAGTGTTACCAGTATAAAGCTATCACTGCCACTACCAATCCCCCACGACCTCCCCAACCGTCACACTGTTTTATGTACTGGCGCGCGCGCGCGTTTATCCATGAATATTCGAAAAGACGAAAGAAGCTCTGTATCCTACGGGAGATGCGATGCTGCTGCTGCTGCAACTGCAACTGCTTCCTCGATCGATCCCTCGTAACGAGCGCAACGCTCCAGGTTTATAATACTGTTTGCTTTGATATTACACTGCTTTGGTACTAACTCCTTATTTACTACCTCCTGGTGTTAATATAGTATTTGACGACGATGTTCTATGCACTGGTGGGATAATCGTCTTCCTGGGTGAAGAAACTTGATGCACTCCAAGAGGAGGCTGTAGGGCACATCGCATGAGAAATCGTGATTCCTAAAGTATTCTGGATTCTCTTTAGGTTTAACGATGTATGTACTTTGGGGTTAGTTGAGAAACTGAGAATGAGGTGAAGAGATATCGTTAGATAAGTACTATCGGTTAATTATTGTTTACAACTGCCTTTGCGACCTGCGACAGTCATTTATACTGCGAACGTGTCTTGTTTCGCAGTGTATCTATTGTTTTAACAGACATAGCGAGCGATCGTTTCCAACGATGAGCTTTGAGTAACTATATGAATTTCTACGGTTCTTACGTCAGGTAGAATAGTCGCAATGCGCAATATTAATAATTTCTCATAGTACAGAAATGTGAACTAGGGAAAAACAAATCAAAAACAAGGACTCAATACGAAGTAACTCGAAAATACGGTGCATATCTGTATATGCATAATTGATATATGTATAAAATTCCTATTTAGAAACACCGACATAAGCCCACGCACATTCTTTACATATTTTATCATATATTTTATGATTCGAACTTTGCGCTAAAAATTCTTGAGCACCGTACTCACTCTACATCCTAGGATAAGAAAACTAACTCGATTTTCGTGGGATAATAAACCACGACAATCCTAGATCGTATTAAAGATGTAAACAAGGCGATGACATCTATTAATTCTCTTGGAAGAAACACACAATGCGTGTCATGACGCAGTAAATAGATATTTTGAACATTTATGAGAAAGGGAAATGCGATTATTGCGAGAAGTCACGTTGCTGTTTTATAGCATGTGTAAAAATAACGACTCCTCCTTCTTTCTCTTTCACACACACTCACTAACTCATTCAGTCTCTCTCTCTCTCTCGTTCTATATATTCTATTTGCTGAAACCTCATTCTCTCATCACCCTGGCCAGTCTAGCGAATAGTTAGTATATCTGTCAGCAGTTGCGTTCGGTACGTCAAATTCGATCTAGTAATAGGAAATAAAACATAATTAAGGCTACTTCTGTTGCAATGCGCGATTATCTGCATTCTGTAGTTACTAATGCAACAGTACATAATACGTGTTGACTGCATCATAGTTTGAGGAGTGTACTGCAATGAACGAGGACAGACAATGTTGTCATTCTGTTAGTGATACAACGAGCGGGGATTGAATGGAAAATAAAATAGCGTGAAACGATAACCTCCTATTCTGAGAATTTTGAAAATTAAAAATAGAGGCTTACGGTTTAAGTGTATTCATGCAGTTTTTTGGGTAATTTGTATTTTTTCATTTGTGCGATATAAAAAAATAAAGCAATGAAAACAAGCACTATCACACGATAATGTTCCCTTCTTCATCTTTCACTCGGTCTTACTCACCTGGTTTGAAGATTCATATAGTTTTCCATATTCGACTTCTGAGCGTACCCGTCCATTTCGACCTTTCGTTGCACATAATACTATCAGTACGGAATGGCCTTGCCGCAGTGACCGATTTTTCGGATTCTCTTACTTGTCGTTTTGTGTCTTCACGCTGGTTTCGGCCGCGGTGGCGCATTTTGCAGCGGAACTTGCGACTGCGCAATCCAGGAACTTCTATATCCGTTGCTCTTACCCTGGGCAATCCTGGTAACTAGTAAACATTATTATTCGATCCATTTAACAATTCAATGATTGTTATACTCAGATTTTTTTGCAATCCAGAGATACTTATTATGAAAATTGACTTTCCCGCCAATCTACATCATTCTTAGTTGAGGAGTCGTGACTTATTTTTGAAAAAAGAAATTGATTAGCTGATTATATTTCGTTTTTTAAGTTTAACTTTAGTTTAGTAGATATATTATTTGGTCTGGAAGTGGATTATGAAGTGTAGTATAATTGAAAAAGTTCTTTTTTTTTTTTTTAACGTGACAGTTTATTTTGTTTATTAGGACAGCTGTCGACGTGCAAATACATATAAAAAGGGTGATCGTATAAATTCATATACGAGTTATAAATAAGGAGTATAAATGTTTCAGAAAGCCCATAAAGACACGTGAGATCGGCTGTCATTGTTTTTACCGGTTAATTATAAATTAGTACCGGTTATTAGAAATCCTTAAGTGCTAAACATAAATATTTTGTGGATAGCGATATGCGCAGCTGCCGCTATGTCGCAACTAAGTGAAAAAGTTGCGGATTTGTAGAATTTATCGCAGAGCTGAAAAGCCTCCGTTTTTGCTAAAGCGAAACGGCCTACGTCTCTGTGGCGATATGTTGTTTTTTACTGGAGTAGAATCGTTTTCCTTGTCCCAAGCACGTCTTGGAGACTCAATACCAAATGGGCTATACAACTTGGTAGGTGTACGTCCTAAAAGACGCCTGGAACGTGTCTGTGGCGTTTGACTTGTGTATGTACTGCATCCTCCAGGAGAACGATGCTCATCAAGTCGCTGACGTCTGCGTGTTGAGCTTCTAAATTTCTTTAACATAAGTAAACCAGAAAGATTGTATTATAAAAGCTATGTAAACTTTATACAAATAAAGATCTTTGTATCAAGTAATCATTATTGAGATGTACTCTTATCGATCTACCTGAGATATTGTGCCAAATGTTGTCCTGACCGATGAAATAGTCTTGGACAATTTCTCAGCTCCACTTCTCAATGCTCTTCTGGAATCGGCAGAAACATTTCCAAGACTGAGATTGCTCCAACCCCTCTCTGTACTGTCTTTGTCTCCAGATACCTTCTCCTTGGACATCTTCTGCGAAGGTTTCTCTTTGTCAAATCGATCCTGAAGTCTTTGCCTAAGGTTTTTCGATGCTCGAGTGACCTCGGGCGAATTTCTCGGACCAAGAACTTCCCGATGAAAAGTGAAGGAAACGCTTCGTGAATCTGGACGCATGACACTTCCTGGTTTATCTCGTAACTGTCGTTTTCTTTGTTCTCTTCACTATCCACTCTATCGAATATCGACTTAGTGATAGAATAATTCTTTCTGATTACTTCCGTAACTCCTCGCTATTATTAACCTTCTACACGAATATGCATTCCATTACTTTCCAAATCTTTACTCCGGATTTAATCGATTTGGAGTAACGGACTGACGGCGTTCTGGAGAAGTCAAAACTCGAGCGTTACAATTCAGGTTACCAACCTTATTGTAAAAATGACAGTTTCTCATTGCCAACGGGAAAACATAACTTTACTATGGGTGCTGACAGCTGAGCAAACTACCCTATACAGATTTGGTTCGTATTTTCAAAATGAAATTTGTATGACAATATTTTGCCGCACAAGGATGAAATAAAATTATATTCATTCTTCTTATTCCAGTGTATCTTTGATAACAGACGTAACAGATAATTTAGCTAAGAACACCTATTAATATTTTAATATATTGAAGGTAACAAAATTCGTTTCTTTCGAACTTTGCCGTTTCACGCGGGATATGCAAGCAATACAAAGGCTGACTAATTATTGGTTACGAGATTGAACAAGATCAGTGATTGCTGAAGAAGTGGGGATGCTTTGAGTTTGGGAGGAGTAAATTTGCCAATATACCTCAGTGTGCCTCAGTGTCTAAGATGGCAGCAGATGAGAAGGTATTCTTCTCAAAAACCGTTCAACATTTAGCAAGATCTTTGGCCGCTATCAAGCCTACACCATGGGAGAAGGTACCTGATCCTTGGCTTACGTCATTGTAAAATTATCTTCATAAATTCTAAAACTGCTGACACTCAAGCTGTTTTATATTAATGGTATTCTACAGGAATTGCGAATTGGTTATGTTATCCCTGTTGTTCCAGCTTATTTCTTGTTATCATGTCATCGCGCTGACATAATTCTTGTGGTTTAGTGGGTTCATAAATGAAATTTGTAGACATGGCATATTTGATTATCAGTTTACGTAATCGAGCAATCATTGATTCTGATTAAAGTAATTATTTTTAACGTTTTTATCGTTTAATCACTTCTTGAGTATCAATGAGATTAGTTTAAGGACTATCGTAAGATCCTGATTTCTTTTGAATACAAATATGCATATTGTGTTACTGCAAAATTAGATGCATATGAATGTTTTTTAGGTGAATCGGTTGTTCAAATTATGTCCCCAAGAATCGACACAGGGTGTCTTTCGCTTGGATCAACGGGGGCAGGATTCAACAATTGCATTAGGCATTTATTTTCTGGAATCTGGATTACAAAACCGAGATCGGATATTACCATATCTATTAAAACTTCTACGTGGACTTCCAAAGGCTGTATGGTTGGATGAAGTTCGTTGCAATCCAATAGAACGTGTGCCAGTTGCTGAACGTTTTAGTTTCTGTTTAAATACATTGCTCAGTGATGTGGCAGCAAGATGTGAGGCGGCACGTGAAGAGATCATTGCAACCCAAGTAGAGATACTAGCAGTACTCACAAATTTGATAAGAGGATTCAGAGATCAAAATGGAAGTCGGGGTATGCAAGCAAAGTGTAAGTAAACTTAACATCAAATGTATAACAGCGATAGTAGGTAGTTTAATAACCTATTTATAATATTCTGTCTGTGCAGTGTCATTATGCAAGTGTCTTGTTCCGGTGCTAATAGGATTAGCTCGTTCAATGGGTCGCTTTGCAAGTTTCGAGCCACCACTTCTCTGTCGTATATTTCCACGACCAGTTCCACCGTTGGCTACAACTAATCAGAATCGTTCAGTGCATGATAAGAAACTGCGCAGTTTCTCAAACTTTAGACCTATTATACCTCGATCGCTTAGTGGTAATTTAAATCCTCATCTATCAATTGACAGTGCACAGGCTGCAATGCAATCAACAGATTATGACTACCCAGTGAAAAAGCGTCCGTCGCTACAATCATTCCTATCAGTGCCCTATGATCCAACAACGTATTTCTTTACACGTTACGGCTCCAGCTTCAATCAGTTTCCACAGATGAGATGTAACGAGAGTCCTGAAAGAAGAGCAGGACTACAATTCAGTGTGGTGCATTTACAAAGCATACTGGCACTTGCCAAGAAGCTGCTCACTAAAGAGACCCTGGCATTCCTCGACGAGGAAGCTGAGCAGGTTATATCTGTTATTAGATTTACCATTTGCAACGTCAGGAACATTCCTAATTATTGCCTATAAATCCACCAGGTCTATAATTCTGGCCAAGTACTGATATTCCCGTACAAAACATTCAGCGAAACCATGAATCTAGTTATGGTGGCTCTACTGCGAGAACTACTTCAAAGTCAACGTGATCTACCTGCACCGTTCACGCGCGATGTCCAGGAGTTCGTCAAAGGGCTCTTTCTTTCGGGTACTACGGAACTGCAGTCACGTCAGCACGATGCTAGTGAACGTGAGGACATAGATACGAATTTTCGTACAGTGAACAGGTTCAAGGTGAACGTCATGGCCAACTCAGCTTGCGTCGATCTACTTGTCTGGGCTATCGGCGACGAGACTGGTAAGTTATCACCTCCACTAATTAGTTATCTTCCTAACACTGTCCTAGAAACTAATTTAATACTCATAGAACAAGATCCTAACAGCGAATGTACATTCTGCCACGCATCTACTGGACAATCCCAAAAACTTGTAAATTCTTCCATCCGTGTTCTTGTCGAGATCAAATTTATTTTTCATTACTGTCTATTTAATTAAAGATATAAACGATATTGTTTTTACAGCAAGCGAGGATTACGATTTGCCCGCACTCTACGCGGACCTCAGTTCCATGCTGATAGGCGAGGGTATCTCGAGTTGCCCCTGTGTTACGTTTTCGCTGATGTCCGCTTTACCATTAATACTCCCCCATACAATTAATTAAGACTATTTAACAATAATTGTCCAGAATTTAACTTTATTTCATTTAACGCTCTCACTGTTCCCTCGTCATCCGAATTCGTGGTACTCTCGCAGGAATACGAGAACGTATCGCTAACATTGAATTATTGCTCTGAATGCACTAATTATTAAACGATAATTAATATTCTCCGCCATTTGGTATTCAATTAATTAATTTACAGGTGCTGACTCCCTCTGTGGTCGTCTCACGGAGAAGATAAATTCAAATCATGGGCATAGGTTGGTGCTGGCTCATATGCCTTTGCTAATGGTCTGCCTAGAAGGATTGGGAAAACTTGCACAGAAGTTTCCCAACATCGCAACGACGTCCATTTATTACTTGCGTGACTTCCTCGTCACTCCCTCGCCCATTTTAGTGAAATTGCATCGTCAGCAAAATGATCGTTTCTCCAAGGATCAAAGGTTCAAGGTGACAGGTAAGTAATGATAATACAAGTCTCACGCCTCGTTGGCATGTTTAATACATATACAGTAAATTGTAGCATGGGATACAAATTGTTATATTAGTTCAAGGTAAAGAAATGAAATCAATGGATGCAAGGCAAAACACGTCATCGCAAACGGCCTTTGAGCGATTAAGAGATGCGGCTATTGAGAATCTTTGTATTGCACTGGAAGCTGCGCATTCTATAGATCCTTATTGCGTACCGGCTTTAGTGGCCAGTGTCTCTAATAGACTGTTTACCGCAGAGAAGAGCGATAGGTATGACAAGCGTTATGGTTTATCATAGCAGCTATGTATCCTGGTGGAAACTAAAAAGACTAAATTACTTTTGGTAGCGAATGCGATGAACGTACGATAAGCGAACTCATCTCCACGAACATTGTCATAATGCTGGGACACGTGGCAGTGGCTTTGAAGGATACTCCAAAGACAACCGGTACCATCCTGGCATTTTTTCAGCAGCGTTTCTGTCGCGTCCCTAGCGCCCTGGATATCCTCATCGTGGACCAGCTTGGCTGCATGATAATTTCAAAGTGCGATCCTCAGGTGGGTTCCACGTGCACATGCGCCTGGTAGAATCCAGGATTCAGAATATTCAGTACTTTCGTTTGTCCAGGTTTACGACGAGATCATGAAAATGTTTGCTATCACTGTGGAGTCCAGCAGTGCTGCTTACGCGTCGAACGATGACCGAAAACCTTATCGTCACGTATCGGGTGCGGTGACTAATGCACTTGCGAATATAGCTGCAAATCTCCAGGGTGAAACGGAACTGAACGACCTGCGTCTTCGACTGTTGGAACTTTTTGTACAGCTTGGTCTGGAAGGCAAACGTGCCAGTGATAAAGTTCCTAACAGTGTGGCTGCCACGGTAAGAAGATTAAACAACGTACTTCATACTATGAAAATTACCAATATTCATTATCTATTGATACTTAAAGAAAGCCTCAAGCAGTGCTGGTAATCTTGGAGTACTCATTCCCGTCATCGCTGTCCTGGTTCGTCGGTTACCACCAATCCGTCATCCCAAGCCACGAGAACTCAAACTCTTCAAAGATTTCTGGCTGTACTGTGTCGTGATGGGATTCACAGCTGCCGAGCCTCATTCGTCTCGACTCTGGCCAGCTGAATGGTACGAGGGTGTCCAAGAAATTGCCGTGAAGTCGCCGTACTTGATATCCCAGTCTAGTGCCAGACTGGAGATGCGCGAGCTTCAATATACTTCAGCCGTAAGGAACGACAGTGTCTCGTTAAATGAACTTCAGGAGCTGCGGATGCAGATTCTTAAAATGAGCAGCAGGTAAGGCTTATCATTTGAATACATCAGATGTATACACGGTAGATATTGTCATTGGTTAACATGTTAATTGAACTTCCTGTTCTTTAGATCCAGTGACGTGTCACCCTATGTTTCTAAATTTCAATTCGCCCAATGTACCTACTTACTGTCAGTCTACTGGCTGGAGACTTTGAGAGTGTCTCATAGTCCTGAACCAAGTCTTGAGCCTATAATGGAGTACCTGAGTGACACTGCCTTGCAGAAGGACAAAAGCGGCATGTGGCAGTGTATATGCAGTGTCGGAGATGCTGTCTTCGCGAAATTCAAAGACGTCATGCAGAACAAACCAAAGGATGAACGTCGTGAGAAGGAACTGGAGAATCATGCGCAGTTCTTACTAGTCAATTTCAATCACGTTCATAAACAGATTAGACGAGTTGCGGACAAGTACCTCAGCGCACTGGTGGATGCCTTTCCTCATTTACTTTGGAACTGCAGAGTACTCTGCAGTATGCTGGACATACTACAGGTAAGTTAGTTCAATACCCAGAGAATCTCTATTTATCTGAGAGAAAATCTTCCTTCGCAGGTTCTATCATTCTCACTGCAACTTGATCCAAATGAGGAAACACCAATGCTTCGCATACCAGGAACACCTTATAGCATTCAGCTAATGGACACCCTCGAAGCCAGAGAAGTTAGTATTGCATGTAATTCTGTGATTTTCGTTTTAAAATTAGTGTAGGATAAAGAAGATTGTTGTTTGTTTGAGGAAAGATCACCGTCAAAGACTTCACTGCCAGATGCAAAGGAATAGTTCAGGAAGCCATGAAGTGGGCGCCACATGCCACCAGATCACATTTACAAGAGTATATAAATCAGATACCTTCTTCTGGGATGTGGCATCATGCAGGATTATCACTGGCTACAGACTCTGTTCTGGAGTTCGTTGACCTAACAGTCCCAATGGCACCTCTAAACGTGAGTACTGATCAAACATCTAGATCGCAATTCTACGGATAATCAAGTGATCTTTATAATTTTCCAGACAAATTCCTTAGATAAACGGTCACGTAATGGTAAGAGCGGTGGTTCCTGGCTCATCTCTATGATGTCCACGCGGTCCAGGTATGCTGGCGAAGTAGCCGGCATGCTCGCTCTTGATAAGGGTGACACACCCTCTCCGGAATCCGCTAACGTAGGATTCAGTAAAGAGACTCAAGGTGAATCACTTGTAGTAGATCGACTGATAAAAGCCGTTTGGAAAGCTTGTCAGAATAAAAATGAAGTGGAGCATCGCCGTGGGCTTTGGCGTGCCACTGCACTTCTTATAACGATACCAGGTTGGTGTACCTGAGTATAAATGGAGCACAGTTTATCTGGAAAATTATTAAGTTTATTTTTTATATTCCTTTTAGGGATACACAGGCGTTTGCTGCACACGGTGGCTTGGTCCCAAGTGGAACTCTTCACCGATCAAGCGATAACCACGGCAGTCGAATGCTGGCAGTGGATCCTCACAGCGCGACCGGATCTGAAGCTTTGTTTCCTCCAGGAGATGCTATCCGCGTGGCAGTACACGGTTTCTAAAAGAATGGGTCTATTCTCCGTGCAGCGTGAGGAAGTTAGCCCCCTGGCGGTTTACGAGGGTTGCAAACTAGGTCCAAATCCTCCCTACGTCAAGCCTCATGAGATCTGGGTGACTTTCTTAGTGGAGCTCATAGAGACTGCCAAGTACTGTTGTCAGGAGACTGTAGAGATGATTGCTCACTTGCTCCATCAATCATTACCAATGACCGTTGGCGCATCTGGCGAGGATCATGGTCTGAATCGACATGTAGCCGCTGTCGGAGTACGTTTCAAACTACTCTCCTGCGGTCTTTTGCTTCTTCAGGGCGATATCTTACCCAGGTAAGCTCTCTTTACTCATTCTAAAGATAACCTCACTAATCGCACCGTCCATGTTTAGATCGCTGAGCAAGAACGTTCTACGCGAACGCGTGTACTCTAATTGCTTGGATTATTTCTGTCGAGAACGTCAAACTCCTACTCAAGAACCTGATCAACTTAGGGAAGACATAGTAACTCTTATTCGATTCTGGCAGGTAAATTGAATGACTGGATCAAGAATACCGATGAAGTTTCGATCGTAAGCACTCTTGTACCCGTAGGTGATGCACAGTGATAAGAAATACCTGATGGCAAGTGGAGAAGGTGACTTTGATATAATCAGACCGCCAAGTAGTGCAGGAACCATGTTGCAAACCGATACAATGAACTCGTCGACGCCGATTGGTAACGAATTGGGTAAACCAGGTGCCACCGGTTGGATCAACACTATCCCACTCTCTGCTAGTAGTAATACTCTAGGGAAACGTAGTAATCGTAGCAAACGCGTGGTCAATGCAAATGTATTTGTCAAGGACTACATCAAGAAGCGCAATCTCATTCTGGAACTATTAGCCGTGGAAATTGAACTTTTGCTGGTCCGTAAACTTTTATACGAAACGATCGGCGTAAAATTTAAATATTATTTACACTCGGATTTCCATCGCTAGGTTTGGCGCAATCCAGGGGGCAGGCAAGATCTTACGTTACAAGGCGAAGCCAGCATCGCGGAGTGGCGTTCGAAAGCCATGAATGAACGCTGGCGAGATTACACCAGATTAGCATGGGAAATCAGTCCAGTCCTCGCAGTCTATCTACCAGTTCGTTTAAAGAACTCGGACATCATCGTCAGAGAGGTTTGCCGATTGGTACGACTCAATCCTATTCCCGTGATGAATGTTCCTGAGGCTCTACAGTATCTCGTGACCACGGATACTCTTCTCAATGATGCACCAGAGGTCACATAATTTTGTTTTCTCACAGCCTTAAGTATTCAAACAATTGTGTTACTGCAACTATGACAATTGTTACTTCAGCTGGTCTATATGCTGTCCTGGGCCAGGGTATCGCCCATACAGGCCTTGGCTTACTTCTCCAGACAGTTTCCACATCATCCTATTTCGGCTCAGTATGCAGTTCACGTTCTCAGCAGTTACCCAGCTGACGCTGTTCTGTTTTATATACCCCAGCTGGTGCAAGCTGTCCGTCATGATTCCATGGGTTATGTTATCGAATTCATAAAAGCTATTGCTAAACGTTCACAAGTACGCAATCCAAACTATATCTTACTAGACTAATCACCGACAGTTCCTACACTCGTTCACGACAAAAATTCTTCTCAGGTAGTAGCTCATCAACTCATCTGGAATATGCATACCAATATGTACATGGATGAGGATAAATTGTTAAAAGATCCAGTCCTCTTTGATGTCCTGGATTCTCTGGTGAAGAGCATCCTAAGTTCCCTCTCTGGTCCAGCCAAGCAATTCTACGAGAGGGAATTTGACTTCTTTGACAAAATTACGAGTATTTCCGGCGACATAAGACCTTATCCTAAGGGGCCTGAACGAGAGCAAGCATGTCTAAAAGCTCTTCGTAAAATCAAGGTGCAACCTGGCTGTTACCTGCCTTCAAATCCGGAAGCAATGGTCATTGATATTGACTATAACAGTGGCAAACCTATGCAAAGGTATAATTAGGTCTTGAAGGAGTCTCTTTTTTAGTAGTTCCTTTTCTCTCCTGGTAATTTCAATTGTTTCTATTTGTTCTCTCAGTGCCGCCAAAGCACCCTTCCTGGCTCGCTTCAAAGTTCAACGTTACGGCATAAATGAACTGGAGAATATTGCCATGGCAGTCTCCACGAACACAAAGCAGGACACCAAATATAATGTGGCTATTGAGTCATGGCAAGCAGCCATATTTAAGGTCGGCGATGATGTCAGGCAGGATATGCTGGCTCTTCAAGTGATTAGCATCTTTAAGAATATTTTCCAACAAGTTGGACTTAACTTGTATCTCTTCCCTTATAGAGTTGTCGCTACCGCGCCTGGGGTGAGTAATAAATATCCTATCTCTTCATTTTCAATAATCTGTCATTAATCATTAAATTAATTTTCTAATTACTTTACTACTTGACAGTGCGGTGTAATAGAATGTGTGCCAAATGCAAAATCACGAGATCAACTAGGTCGGCAAACGGATATTGGCATGTATGAATATTTCATAACAAAATATGGAGACGAAACTACTAAGGAGTTTCAAAACGTACGACGCAACTTCGTCAAGTCCATGGCAGCTTATAGCGTGATCACCTACTTGCTACAAATCAAGGATCGACATAATGGAAACATTATGCTGGATAACGAGGGTCACATCATTCATATAGACTTTGGATTTATGTTCGAAAGTTCACCAGGTGGCAACTTGGGTTTTGAACCTGATATCAAGCTCACCGACGAGATGGTGCTCGTTATGGGTGGCAAAATGGAAGCAGCGCCGTTTCGCTGGTTCATGGAATTGTGTGTTCAAGCTTTTCTGGCAGTCAGGTACGTGAAGCTTCACATTCCTAGAAATAATTTTTAATTGGTAATAGATAATTTAATGTCTTCAATTGATTCTTTAGGCCTTATCAGGAAGCTATAATTTCATTAGTCTCACTGATGCTGGATACCGGATTACCCTGCTTCCGTGGTCAGACGATCAAGTTGTTACGCGCCCGATTTGCACCAAATTTGACTGATCGCGACGCGGCGGCTTTCATGCTCAACGTGATACGCAACAGTTTCCTCAATTTCCGCACGAAAACGTACGATATGATACAGTATTATCAGAATCAAATCCCATATTAAGTTTTTAGATGGGAGGCGTTAGAAGGTGCTGCGTATGTATTTAATTAAAGAAGTCTTATGGTCCAATTTCTCTGGATTAAATAGGATGATAATGGTAATTGTTTAAATGCTGTATTATAAGATGCGGTGACTTTGATCTTATGTGTATAAAGGTAATGATTTCAGGCGATGGCTTCAGGGGATAAATATGTATTTAATTGTATGTAGCATTCTATGGTATCCTCAGTATTTATGTGCGACTCAGTTATTTTAGCTGTGGACACTGATGAAAACATTCCTCTCTTTCTCAATCTCTGTAAATCTATCAATTATTAATCGTTGACAATGACATTAAAGCCATTACTCTCATGTTTTTCCAAATGTTATTTCTCTTATAAGATATTGTTGATTAATTTAATAAATATGTATAGATTCTATTTATTAATTCAGTATAGCATTTACAAGGTCTTATACTATTATGGTCTTGCAGCCACTTACGTCACATCCACATTCTTCTACCCAGTCCACACTATCATGACTCGCATTTAGAACAGTCACGTTCTAATACCATTTGACAGTTAGTCCCAAGACCAAACCTTGCCAGGTGTAAGAAGTTTCGGTTTCGCCGATACCTCGCCTCTGAAATTTCACAAAAGAATATTTTTATTTATTCCTAGAAGTATGTGAATGCATGGTGGCTATATTTACCCTGCAGTGATTTGTTTAGCTTTCGAGATAAGAAGAGGAGGTTCTACCTCTCTTCTTGCATCTCGTACAAAGTAATATATTTTTGAAGTTTTGTGATATGGTCCTTCTGGGAGATTGGGTGGTGGTTGAGTGCGGGCTGCAATACAATCTGCAAAACGAAGTGGTGTAGTTCTGGATTTTGCCTGAAACATGGAGAAAATTTAGAAGAAATCAGACATAAATTAATATATACAAATTTAAATTTACACAATTTTACTATAAAGTACTAGAGTATCCTTAACGTAGCTGCCTTACTTTTTTGATAAATAAAAATTCTTGATTGCTATAATTTAATCATTAATTATATTATTTACCCTGACATAAAGTTAATATGTGGATTGTGATAAAATAAAAAATGTTACGTAATTTTCAATAAAAACTAACCCCCAAAAACGACAATAAATCGTACAAAACAGACTGTGGTAACTTACACCTCGCATTAGATTTTGAAACCAAACTATAATTTGGGAATTCGAACGATGCTTTATACCGCCAGGCATTTTTTCACGATTTTAACCTACGATATTCACGAAATTATGTTAGTCGCGAATTTTCAACAGAAAATATTGTTTTCTTTACGATACACACTGCTCCGTTCAGTGGTTCTCATTAAACCTAACCTAACCCATATTTATTCTCGCTATGCGCATGTCATCTAATCCGAGGTCTGACAATTCTTCAATAATTTCATATTAACATAAAAAGGGCATAACATTCAGTGTCGCTATCAGTATTTTATTTTTCTCTTCAAATATATTACAATCTCATCTACACTCTCTCTCACCGTACACTGTTAACGGTTTATTATTTCTATCTATCCCATATACATTAAATGAAAATAATACATATTTCAAGCTATAACTAGAAGTTAATCATCAGATCCTTCACTAAACGGATGTAATTCCATATCTTCAAAGTGTTCGGCAATCTTATAGCATTTCTAACGCAGCCAGAGTCGTCGTATAAGATCGGCGCCTTTTTCAGCCACCATCGTAACAGGAGCAGCAAGATTACAAGAAGGTACGCGGGGTATGCTAGAAGCATCAATAACCCGAAGTCCTTTAATTCCTCTGACACGTAATTTAGGATCAAGAACAGCGTTAACTGTAAACGTAAGAAAAAATTAAGAAATATTAAATGAAAAATGGACAATCGTATGACGAAAAGTATCACAAAACCCTTACCATTATCGCTATTGCCCATCGCACAGGTACCGCACTGATGGTTTTCCGGATTAGTCCGATGTGCAATCACGCAATCCCAATATTGATCACTCTCAAACACATAAAACGAACAGAGTTCATCAGGTTCAGGATCAAGTTCAACGTTTATCCTTTTGAGAGCGGGACTTCTTGATAATGCCACGGCTAATCGTACTCCTTGTCTTAGTCGTTGGACCTCTTCGTCAGTCTGGAGATAATTGGCTTGGATCACTGGAGGATCAAATGGATTATTACTCCGTAGTTTGATGGAGCCTAAAGGACTTTGTCGGAGAAGGGTTGGTACTATTCTGAAAAGAAAACAAGAGTAAAAATAAACTTATTAATTAGTTTATTAGTCATTAAATAATATTTGATAATTGTAGCATGACCTACTTGAAGAACTGATCACCAGCGTACATATCCTCCTGGGACGAACCAGTCCTGGAGTAATTAGCGTTGAATCCTTCGAAGAATATTTGAATATCAGGACGATCGTCGTTTTCAGTTTTGTTCACCTTTACAAATCCTGTTATTTGAGACAATCCTGTAGATGACAGAGGACCCTTACGTGCTATGAGGTAGCGCTTGATGGTGTCCACGTTCATGAGATTCTTTGGTTTTTTACCCCGTATTTTAAAGGGTATTGACACGGATACGTGATTCAATAGATTATTACCTACGCCCGGTAGATTTTTAATGACTGGTATGCCTGAAATAGACGTAGACGTAATTTGTTTTTTATATTACACTAAGAACAAAAGCAATGTAGGAGAGTGGCTTTTTTTTAACTGACACCCCGAGATTTTCAACCCCTCCGGCGCAACCTTCTAGGTATAGAAATTTTGCTCCAGTCCAGAGTATAGGCATGGTATAATATTACAGAGTATATAAAAAAAGAGGGAAATTGTTAAGTTATGAAATCATCAAGTATACCAAAGATCTTAGAAGGAAAGTAGGATTGTCAAAATTATTGGAAAAACTAGGTTAATTTTTCTACATTGAAAGTGAGCTCTGTACTAAAACTGATCAGGATGAGCTACGAGATACTCCCAGAATCCGTGAACGATATCCTGGATGAGGTGGAGACGAATCTTTGTCTGCCAATAATACTTTTCATTCTGATCTGCACCATTCACGTGGCCCTGATCCAGTTTATGCAGATAGGAAGTGCAGTGAATTGTTATCTGGAGAGGAGAGCGTCGAGATCAGAAGCAAACGACCAAGTGGACGACGATAACAACGAGTCTTTTTTCCAAAAGATCAAAGGTAGTCCATTCACAATAATTACCAAATATCCAAGCACATTACAATTTTTGATATTCCTTCAGGAATGATATGCAGAATGAATTCAAAGGATCACAATGATACCGACGACTGCAAAAATTGTCCTCGTTATTCAAACACAAGCAGAGAAACTCCAGAAGACGAATGGGACTGCTGTGCCGATTCCTACGAAAGCCAGTACGACGATCGCCACGTTCGTTGATCCTGATTCAACCTAGTGATCTTAACGTTTCAAGTCGTTGTTATATGTATGTCACCGAAACTTCTATTGTAACTAAATTAAAACTCTATGGGGATCCGGCCACTTTTCAAGGTATGATAAGTTTATATAAATTAAAACAAGAAATGAAAATCTCATTATGCTTCTTTTACCTAGACTCCTGAGATGACCTTTTGGCCCTACTCCAGACAGCATCAGTAATTGCGGCGACGCCACTGCACCAGCTGATAAAATAATTTCCTTCCTGGCTCTAACAGTCCTGATGACACCATTGTGCGAATATTCAACACCCTGAGCATGCTTTGTCATGGGATCAATGATTACCCGGTGAACCTAAAAAATTCATCGTACATCCAATTTAATAGCAGTTGCATTTGATAACACAGCATAATCATACCGTTGATTCCAATAAGACTATCAGGTTAGGTCGATCAATCGCAGGTTCCAGAAAGGCTTTAGCGCTGTTTAATCGAACGCCACCCCTCTGCATAGCCTGTGCAACTGTAAACCCTAGATGACGATTAGCATTGAGGTCACCACCTACAGAGAATCCTAACTCCTGGGCGGCCTCCAGGATATTCCAGGCCAGTTGTGGTTGGTCTGGAAAACGTTGGATCGTATAGAGTCCTCCAGTGGTATGATATTCCGGCTAGATACAGAAATGGATAGTCACGTTTACAATTGAATATTAAACATGGATATATCTACTATATTACAGGCATAGGAAATTACCATAGCAGCTTGAGTACCGATATCTCTGTTGTCCTCGCTACGTAAAAAGAATGGCTGCACTTCCTCCCAGGACCATCCTGGCAACAACCACTCATTGTAATCCTTAGGATGACCTCTCATGTACATCATACCGTTGAGAACGCTCGTACCACCTAATACTTTGCCTTTGATGTGAACAAACAAGAAAAAAAGGGAAATAAACATTGCAATATGTGATAGAACGTCACAGTTGAAGAATTTTATAAAAGAGTAATGCTCGCACCTCGGGGCCATCTGCAACGACCTTCCGGTGCAGCTAGACAAGCTCTTTTCTGTGGCTCCAGAACGTAATTCCAGTCGATGGGAGACTTTTGATAATTGAAATAGAATCCTGGGATAGAACTCGTTGTAGGTGCTGGTCCACCACTCTCTATCAATAATACAGTCCAATTACGTGACTGATCTTTGGATACTTCACTGAGACGTGAGGCCACAGCGGATCCTGCACTTCCGCCACCGACTACTATAAAATCGACTTCGGTCTGTGTCGAGAAAAAAGAAACAGTTTTCAATAATCCAAAGAGGAACATCTGGCTTGTAAATTTCTTACTGGAAATTGAACTGGCAGTCCACTGAAATGATCCTTGAGATCGTTCTGGGTCTTGAAAACGTCCTCGAACAATTTCATAAAAGTTTGGTTGTCTGATGATTTGAAAGATGGTGCCTGCAGGATATTTATAGTTATGAATGAACTCCATACCCATTACATTATAAAGCTTCGTCCAGTATTCAAGATCATGTATCTCAAAGCAAATCTTACCTCCAACGCCGAATTAAAAGCAGCGGAATTTGATGTCAATCCGCCATCCTTGATATTCTTATTGCTCAAGGGTCTATTATTACTGCCGGTATTTTGAGCAAAGGTGATACTAAACATTAGTATCACTTTGAAGAAGATGAACAGCATGGCTCCGAATTATGCGACCGGTGTCCCAGAGTAGATAAAGTATAAGAACAATTTCTGTGGATCACGTACGATGCACAGGTAATGAATGATGGATAATTCAGAATGCTCAAATTATATACATTTTTTAACATATATAGGAAGTCCTATATCTCCATTATCACGTTATATTTGTTAAACAAAATTGCCATTGTTTACAAGTTGATTGGTTTTTGCAAAGACGTTTGTTGTTCGTTGTTCTCAGAAATTATACATTCTGTCACGAAATATTACACATGTGAACTGATAACTTTGATAACTTTGAAGACGGGACACTTTGAAGGTCGATTCCTTCATGTGAGCTAATAATTCTTTTTTTCTCAAAAAATACTACCTCAGGAAATCCACCATTGGAATTCTATATGTTAAGACAATTCGATCATGAGGAAACATGCAAAATATGAATTTGAATTTTGTATAGATACTTGGTAGATGCTTAATGGTCGTGCTATTAAAATTTGAAAATTATTTACCACCTAGTATGCAAGAAATATGGAACGAGAGTAACAAAAATTGCACTATATAGATATACTTCGCATGTTAAAATAGCAATTTTTGCAAATACCTATCAGCTGCTAGATAGTAAAAATTGGTTGAAATTTCTAGGAGACACTTTTTTTTTATATCGAACATTGTCTCGATGATTTCATAATTAAAAATCTAGGAATTTTTTATCATTTTTTTCAGTTCATTATTTAAACAATGTGAACCGCCCTAACCACTTAGCCAGAAATCGCGTCTCCCAAACTTTGAGCTATCTACGGTCCACAATTGATTTCCACATATTGGACCCGAATGAGCACCGATTAAATACTAGACTAAATGGTTGACCTAACGTAGCTATTACCAAGCCCATAACAGCTTGGAGTGACTAGAATTAAAAAATTTTGAAAATTTCAGTGCTGCTTTATGCTCTACCTAACCATTTGAGATAAGAAAGTTCCAGAAGCACCTTCAATATCCCGGAAGATGGAATTAGTTCTGGAACTTACTGATATTGATACACATAGATATAGCTATAAAGATAGAACAGCTATATACAGCAATACACATCACTGTCATCTAATTGACAATTGATAAGGGAGATAACGTGCAGATGCAAATCGACCATTAGTGTTTTGCTAAGTGAGTTAAGATCATACTCAGTCAGAGAGGTTAGGGTTCTAAAGGAGAACGGTGTAAAAGGGCGTGACAATAGACAAAATCGTGCAAGAATGCTGAAATGAGGAACGTGTATTTTTTTTCACTCTGACGCAAAAACTTTACTTGGCTCTTTACATTGTACAACAATGAGAATAATTTGTTATAATAGTAGTCAGCAATGAGCGTATCATGAGAACGATGGCGATGGCAATGAAAATGACAATGGCGATGCTATTTGTCATGAAGACTAGAGCCTAGTCTAGTCTTCATGATTCGCGCTCTGAATTATACAGTATACATAGTTATATAGTGTCATCAGTTTAAAAAAAAAACCAAACGGAATTTCATCGGTGTCAGGTGGCGCCACTAGGACATGGCGGATCCTTTTAGGCCTGGTGAGTTTGAATACCGCGGGCATTCTAGCTTCTATGCTCTCTTTCTCTCTTATTTGCACTCTTAATTAATCTGATGCAGTCACAAGTGTATAGATTTGAACGAATCGCAGAGACACTTGGATGCACTGTCAATATCTGTATTACCGACCGCTGGTACGTCTCTATTACGATCGTTTCAAATGGATATATTATATATAATGTACAAATGAAAAATACATCTCTCCAGCAGGTCTCGGCGGTCTCGATAAAGGAACGAAGACTCTTGAATTGAATCCGTGTATATCGTCATTGAATACGTACACGCGTCCTCGAAATATGTATAACATACATCCTTCCAATTACATATGTTGCATGGGCGTATAATTAATATCCATTGCTGGAAGGAACAACCTATGAGTCAGTCACCACCAGCCGAATCCTCGTGAAGAAAAGTCATTTAGCGAGGGTCGATTTCAATGTTGATTACATTCATATTAGTTCGTACACTGGCCACTCGGAGCGGGGGCAGCGCTGCGGTCGCACGAAGGCGTTGTAGGTTTCCTCGATCAAGATTTTCGGTTAGAAGGATATTGAGACAGAGACTGATAAGAGAGAAACGGTGGAAAGACAATTGGAAAAAGGAAGATGAGGATGAGGATCAGGAGGAGAGGCAATGATGACACGATGGCTCGTCCTCTCGTGTCTGGGATCAATTCCATGGGGTTGGATTTCGAGGACTGCGAGTCCTTAGGCGCCCAGCGTTCCTCCTCGTTCAGCCAGGACTACAGCGTCACATGAAGACATCCTCGAGGCCCGCGAGATTCTTTCTTGTAGGGGTCGAACCGGGAATCCCCTCATCCTCGAAGGTGACCATCTTCTCCCGGCTTCTCGTCGTTGCTGCGGTTACGTCCATGAGACGAGTCTGAGTGCCAGGAACGAGAGCACTGGGTGCGGATGGTGGTCTGAGGGCCGGAGGTACTCCGACGGCAGCATTGCCCACTGCGTTCTGCGTCATCGTACCAGAAGAGGCCATCGAGTTTGTTCTGAGAGCCGATGCTGGAGGTGGTGGAGGTACTGCTATATCCGTTACTGCGGCTGCCGCGAGATTAAACTCGCTGACGCTCCTCGGGACAAAGTACTCAAAGTGAAGTGAACCCTCCTCCGGAGACATGGCCGGTCCGCCACTTCGCCTGAGTGGTTGTCCACGTTGGAAGTGGGAATTTCTGCAGTCTGGAGGCATCTTCTTTCTAGGTAACGAGTGATGTCCTGGCGAGAGTTTAATGGCGCTGTTTAGAGGATGGGAGTGGCCAAGAAGTTTAGCGTCGTGGCCGGACGTGGCCCTCGCGTGCTGTCAGGAAGCTGACACAACTGACATGGCGATGGCTTCTTCCTCGGAAAGTCTTGAATCATTTGAGCCTCCGTCACCTTCCGCGTCGACTTTACCTCCTGGACCATTCCCCATACCACTCATACCGGCACTCCCCATGCCAACGCCGCACAATCTACCAAAGACCTTCACAACGCGCACTACCTCTTCTTGCACTAGGTTGAAACACATTGCAATCAGACCCATCCCGGCCAGGATGTACAGGGAACACGCGCAGAGACTCAGTTCCTCCAGGGTGGCCGAGGGAGCGTTACGACCACCTGGCACAAGGTCGCCAAAGCCAATGGTACCAAGGCTCGTGAAGCAGAAGTAACTACCCTCTAGAAGACTCCAGCCTTCCAGTCGGTTAAACATCACAGCCCCGCCGCATATGTACACGATGATGATGGCGAGGCAGAGGCTGATCGGTATCCTCACAGCATCCGGACACGGCGACGGGGACAAGGACAACGAGCAAGGATGAAAGTGCCTCTTCCCACTTCCGCTATCCTGAAGCGCAGTCGAACTAGTAGCAGCCTGAAGTCCCTCGCTTCCACAATCTAGAAGAACAGCACTTCCTCCAGTACCACCCCGTCCTAGGTCATCGCAGGAGCTTTCCTTACTAGGATAGAAGCTTCCGGCGATGGCCTTGCTCTCCACGTGGTTGTCATAACGATAAGCCTTGCCGCCGATACCCGATGACTTCCTGGTGCAACTGCGTGGACGGCAGAGGCGCGCGTAGAGTCTGCGGAAGCTACGTGCGAGGACGTCGCCGACGGTGCTCAGATAGACCAGCATCAGAGGGATTCCAGCCAGAGCGTAGACTATCGTGATCAGACGACCCCAAACGGTCCGTGGCGCGACGCTTCCGTATCCTGCAATTCAAAGAAGCAACGTGATCTTTATCCTGTGGTTTAATCGAGTACGTGCACGCTCGACTATCTCACTTCCTGTCGACTGGGGCTACTCGAATTGCCACCTGCTAGCCCCTTGCCCGATAGCGCTGACATTTTGAATTCCCTGGTGGAAGTGGACCGAACTAACGTAATCAATGGGACGAATCAAACCGCGTCCTTTTGTATCTTTTGGACAATCCAATTCTCATTATTCTATTTACGTCGCAAGCATCGGAACGCCAGGAGTATCTGCGAAGGCACTATCGATCATCGTTATTCGTGTATCGGTGAACTGGAGGTAAAAGCTAAATATAATATTTGACATACCCTATGGATCGACAGATACTTGAATTATTCTTAACTGTTATTTTTATTTCCTTCCGTACGTCACGGTAGATCCTATGATTAAAACTTGGACATTATTCTCCACAGGAAAATCAGTCATATCCTTTTCAAGCCAAGCGATAGCACGTATTGAAGCGCTCAAGCACGTTCACCGGTTAAATACAGAAATTGAAGCGTAAAGAGGAAAAAAAAGAGAAGAAAATATCGCGTTTTACTCCGTTTGCCACGAAAGCGACGGAAACGAGAAAAAGCAGGAAATCCAGGAAAGTGGTCTCTGTCCCCGAAGGCGCTCCACGCCCTCCCCATTGTCCTGCTTCGTTCCTTTTCTACGGAACAATCGCGTCGCTTGAAATTAGCAGTGTTTTTCGCGAATTGTTGCACCATAAAGAGCGTCAAAGGGTCTTTTAAGCGTCAGGGCGTTGTCTTCATGGTAGAAATGGTTTGGTCCAGGGTGCGCAGCACGTAGTCAGAAATGCACAACCTGCAAACAGGTTAAACGACTAAAGAAAGTCGAGTCACTTTACTGTTAATGCTCGTGACTTCAAGGAACTCCGTTGGAAATTGTCCGGAAGTTGGTCTCATATCCGGGACTTGGTGCCCCAGGAAAATCCGATAGAGAATGTCGGCGTCTGTCTGGTGGGTCTAGAAGTACGAGAAGGACGGCTAGACAGTGGGTTGGTGGTCTGGTTCTGCGCCAAAGATGAAGGAAAATCAGAGGTCTCCGTATGTCCGATATCTAGGCAAGTATCGACTTTGACGTGGTATTTTTAGAATGTAGCATTTTCGTTGAAGTGGACAATCCTGAGCTCTCCCGTCCCAGCCTTGGCAAATGGAGTGGACGGCTAACATACGAAGTGTCCTTGAACACGCGCGTTAGGCGCTTCAATTGAACTCGAATTCCGGATCGATTGACCAGATATTTTCAAGAGCATACAGATCAACCAATTGAATGAGTATATCCGGTCCTTGTCCATTAACCAAATAGCCAAACATCATCCATACGGTCACTCCACGAATAAAAGTTAGCATGGCTCTTCACCTGCGACTCTGAATTTTTATTTCTGTTGACTAATATCTGCTAATGCCTATTGATTATACGAGATTGATTGGTTATGACAAATACTGAATAAGGATGACCCCCATTGGGTCGCTCACCTATGGTAGTGATGAGAGTAAGAGAATAGAGAAGACTGCTACTGAAGGTCCAGCGACGTGCATGATTACGTCGTTCCTGATCAAAACCGACCCCGCGATGCCTAGGTGGTGAGGGGGGTGGTGGCTGAGGTGGTAAACTCTTATAAATTGACGGTGGTGTCTGGGAAAGACCTCGTACCAGGCTCTCTTGAAATTCCAGGACTTCCCTAGCAGCTAGTCTGGTCCAATTCTCCTTGTAGAGGACATTGAGATCTTCGGTGATGATCCAGAGTTTCTCGACAGTGCGGGCACGAAGTTCCATAGCTGCACTCTCATCCTCGTTTGATAAACGTGATCCCGGTTCCCGGGGGACCTTGGAACTGCCACCAACGACGGTCGGTGGTTCCTGAAAGTAAAAGAGATAGAGCACTCAGGGTAAGGGAGCCCAGAAGAAAATAGTTCAGAGCCGTATAATCCTGGCGATGACGATGACGAGAGCTCACCGACTTGAGACCTCCCTCGAGAGCCATAAAGGCAAAGGCGCCAAGCAGAGTGTAACCGAGTACCAGGACGCAGACTCCGATGCTAGCCAAGAGTCCTGGTGCGGATGAGGTCGTCGTGTTGCAGCTGCAGCAGCAGCAGAGCAGCTCCGCGCCCCTCGCCGATGACGGTGGTCCATCCGGTCCACGTGCTGGGCAGCATCGTCTCTGATAATAGCTGCCGGGGTTCCTGCTCTGCATCGTTCCAGTCGCCTCTTACTACGTCCTATCCTGGCGCTCGTTCACCTTCCTCATCGCTGGACGATATCTGCGTGCACCAGAAGTTCACGTATTACACTTCCAGATTGTTCCTGGTGCTGAATCAGGTTATCGACAAAGGACACCATGGCGACTCTATACGTGACAGAAGACACAGGTGAGTCTAGGTGTGCATCGAGCGCACGCTTACGGAGGCAGAGGGCCTCGTAGAAGAGGTTCGACGACAGATGCAGTTTCTGTTTCGTTGAAAGAGGAAGAGACGAGCAAAAGGGGGATTCAGAGTTGCCCCAGTTGGAAGCATTGTGCAGGCGCTTGAGATAAGGCATGAAATTAAATTCAAGGGAATGTGGGTCGTCGGAGTCCTAGTCGTGCACATCCCCATCATCCCCCGTGGGACTTGTTTCCTTGTCATCCACCACGTACCCAGGGTTCAGAGCATCAGTGCTACCTTGAGCATCGTTTTTTTCTCCATCTTCCTACCCAACCTTTATTTTTTTTTACATTGTCCAGATTGATCTCTCTCGAAGATGAGAGTTCCTGGTCTTCGCACCTGTCCACTCTCTTCCATCTCTCTCTCTCTCTCTCTCACTCACTCACTCACTCACTCACTCACTCCCTC